TAAAAAGTAAGCTGGGGTATTGGTCTTAATATGAGACAAAATGAAATTCAGGCCCAAAGGCTTACTTAAGATGAAGAAGAATACAAAGTTAAAATGTGTATTTGACAGTAAACATTTAACATTATGAATATCTGTCAACCAAGTAACTATATTAAATACAAAGTAACTTTCATAAAGCAACTTTCAGGAGGTACCAGGAAAAATAGGCATAAATGCATTAGTAGTAAGTGACTTTTGATTCAGTATCCTTGGTCCAGGGAAGATTAAATGGAAAAGCAGTAAGACTCTAGATGACCAAACAATTTAGTCAATAGGGTAGATTTGATTAATATATATTGAACTTGACCCTGAAAACAGTGTACCCCTTCTTTTTAGATCTCATTTACAAAGACTTCTCTATAGCCCCCAAAGAAAACTTCAATACATTTTAGAAAGGAGAAACAGTATAGAAAAATCACAATGCACTTGCATATTAAGTTCAAACAACTCTTGGATCAATGGAGAATACAAATGAAAATTGTAGAATATATAGATGACTGTGGTGATGAGAACACTAGAAATATATGGAATCTAGCTAAAGCAGTGCTCAGAGGAAATTCAAAGCTTTAAATGCTTATACCAATAAATAATAAAAATGAGTGGGTTAAGCAGTTAACTCAAAAAGTTAGAAAAAGATCTAAGTAAATGAAAAGAAGGTAGAAGGAAGGAATTAGAAATAAAAAATTAATTAGAAAACAAAGCAGAACTAATTGGCTGTTTGAAAATAAACAGACAAATCGCTAGTTAAGCTAATCAATTATTAAAGAGGAGGGTAGGGGAAACAAAAATATATGTAATAAATAAAGACTAATAATCATAAATAGCAAAAATTTAAAGATTCCTGAGTGTTGGTTGTTCAAGTCTTAAAAAATGAGAAAATCTGTAAAAAAAAAAAATTGAAGAATTATCATAGGAAAGTATAATTTACAAAAAATGACCTTGAATAAAGAAAATTCAATAGATCAATTTCAATAGAAGAAATAGAGAACATTAGCAGAGGAGCACCTCCTCCCCAAAAAGCATCTGGCCCAGATGTTTCATGAGAGAATTCTGCTAAATCTTTGAAGAACCAATAATTTTAGTTCTGTTGAAACTATTTCAGGGCATAGAAAAAGATGGAAAACTTCTACATTTGGGGGGCACCTTGGTGGCTCAGATGGTTAAGCATCTGCCTTCGGCTCAGGTCATGATCTCAGGGTCCTGGGATCAAGCCCCGTGTCAGGCTCCCTGCTCAGTCTTCTTCTCCCTCTGCCTCTCCCCTCCTCTCGTGCTCTCTCTTAAATGAATAAAGTCTAAAAGAAAAACTTCTGCATTTTTTATGAAGCGAGTATAATATTGATATCAAAACCTGATGAAGGTTGCATAAAAGAAGAAAAGTATAGATGCAGTCTTACAACTCCAGAAGCAAAACTCTGTTAAACAAATGGAATCTTGCAGCACATTAGTAGAATAATACATCATGAGAAGTTTATTCAGGGTAGAAAAAGATGGTCCATAATAGGAAATCTATTAGTATAATCTATTTTATTGATAAACCTAAGAAGAAGAATCTGTGGTCATTCTGATTACCTCATGAAAAGCATTTGACAAAATTCAAAACCCAGTATAAATAGCGTTCAATAAAACAGTAATTGATGATTAATTTCCTTACATTATATACATTTATATATGTGCATATGTATGTGTATTTCAAAACCTAAAGTCATGTCCCATGGTGATATAATAGGCGTTCCCACTAACGAACAAGACAAGAAATCACACTGTTATCACTACTGCTTAATATGGTAGTGCAAATACTATTAGCCTTTGTATAACAGTACCAGGAATACAGTCTATGAAATGGGTGTGGGGTGGGGGTGAGCCACATTTACAAACAAACCAAAGATAAAATAACGTAGGAATGAACAAAACCCACATGTCAAAAATTTAAAATAATACTGAAAGATAAGGCTTAAAAGACAACATGTTCTCATTGGAAAGATTGAACATTGTGTCAGTTTCTCCACATAAATTAATACAGTAATTTGATGCAGATTCAATAAAAATGTTAACATTCTCTTTTTTCTGGAATTAGACAAAAACTATTCCAAAGTTTATGTAATAAAATAAACAGTGATAGCAAGGAAAATAGTATGGGAGAGAAGCAATGGATAAAGGTTATGGGAATCATACTCCTAAAAAGCCTAAGTATTTAAAACAATAGAGTGCTTGGGGCTCCTGGCTGGTTCCTGATCTCAAGGTTGTGCTCGCTTCAGCAGCACATATACTAAAATTGGAATGATCTCAGGGTTGTGAGTTCAAGCCCCATATTTGGTATAGAGAGATTGCTTAAATAAGTAAACTTTAAAAAAGTGGAATGTCTAGCATGTAAATAAGTGGACATAAGGAATGGAAATCCAGAAATATACCTAAATATATACAGGAATGTAGATCCTAACCTACATCCTAATACCTATAGGAATATAAACATAGGAGCACCTGGGTGGCTCAGTTGATTAAGCGACTGCCTTCGGGTCAGGTCATGATCCTGGAGTCCCGGGATCGAGTCCCACATCAGGCTCCCTGCTTAGCAGGGAGTCTCCTTCTCCCTCTGACCCTCCCTGTCTCGTGCTCTCTCTCTCATTCTCTCTCAAATGAATAAATAAAATCTTAAAAAATATATATAAACATAAATAGTAAATCCAGAAATAAACCTAAATATAGGAACTTAGTACATGGTAAAAGTGATATCGTAAAATTGACTTTTCAATAAATGGTTTCATTGTAATAACAAAAAAAAAACTATGAACATACATTGTATACCAGTATGTATTCCAGGTTCTGAGTCAAAATTTAAATGAAAAGAAAAAATCACAAGTGAATTTGCTTAGAAGAAAAATATGAGTGAATTTCTTCATAATCTTGGCATGCAGAAGGTCTTTCTACCTAATCAAAATTCAGGAACCATTTTTTAAAATGATAAATTTGGCTATTAAAGCATGGTACATCCATACAATGGAATATTTTTCAGTGCTAAAAAGAAATGAGCTACCAAATCACAAAAAGACAGGGAGGAATTTTAAATACCTGTTGCTAAGTGAAAGAAGCCAATTTGAAAAGGCTATGTACTATATAATTGTAACTAAATAACATTCCAGAAAAGGCAAAACTATAGAGAGAATAAAGAGATCAGTGGTTGCCAGGAAGGAGGAGGAGGGATGGAGGAGAGGGATAAAGAGGTGGAGCACAGAATTTTTAGGGCAGGAAAACTTCTGAACGATACTCTGTGGATGGGTGGATTTGGGTGGGTGAATGTGTCATTATTCGATTGTCAAAACCCATAGAAAACCCAAAGAGTGAACTCTAAAGAAAATCATGCACTTTGCTTGATAGTGACGTGTCAGTATAGGTTGGATTGCAACAAATGTACCCCTGTGGTGCTGGACAGTTTATGGTGGCAGAGGCTGGGGTAGGGGTGAGCGGAGGAGGGGCCGGGACGAGGTAGGGAGGTATGTGAGAACTCTGTAGTTTTCACTCAGTTTTTCTGTGAACCTGAAACTGCTCTGGTAAATAAAATCTACTTTTAAAAAATCAAAATCTTGCGAAATGTAAAAAACAAACAAACCCATAACCAAAATAAATAAATAAATAAAGTCTGACAACCCAATAACAAAATAGGCAAGTAACATAGACAAGAATAGACAGAAAAGGTGACAGAGAAGGAAATAGGGATGACCCATAACCATATAAAAAAGATGCTCAGCATTATGGCATGAGAAATGCAGATTGTAACTACTCAGAGTAAACATTTTTCACCTATCATTGGTAAAAATCTGAAAGTGTTACTCTAGTAAGGCTGTAGGGGAGTGTGAAAAGGTACAGATATCCTGGAGGGCAACTTGACAATAACCGTCCGAATTAAAATTGAATTTATCTTTAACCCAGCAGTTTTACTTATGGAAATTTATAGCTATCCTGGCCCACGAATGAAATAACATGTAGATATGGCTATTTATTTCAGCATTGTTTGTAAAAATAGCAAAAGATTAAAAACAACTCACGTGTTCACCAGTAGTGAACTAAGTAAGTAAATTATGGTATATCTTACAGTGGAATACTGTGCCATGTGAATGTATTTATGTACAATAACAAAGTTTTTTTTTTAAAGGTACAACACAGTACTTGCTGAATTTTTATACCGGAGTAACTTTAACAGAGAATATATAAACTAGTGGTGTGTGGAACTGTAGTTTAGAGTGACCAGCTTCTTAAAGTTTGTGCTAAATTTATCTTTAAAATCTGTAGGCTTACTATATTCTTCTCTGTAATTAGCCCTTAAAATTAATTTTTAAAACTGCTCTTAGTCACTTAGTAATCCTGATCCAGGAAGATGTACCTTGTTTATTGTGTGCTTTCTCTTACTCTGATGCACTGTCACCCATCCTCACCTGAGAAGTATATTGTGTGGGAAAATTAATCCCTCAGGTACTACCCTATATTGTGGGGTTTTTTTTAAGTTTTTTTCCAGACTGATTTTTCAGCTGAAGGACTATAATTTGTAAACAATTAGAAAAGCCCTATATTTGTCTCAAAATAATTTAACAAGTTTTCCTTCTAATATTGACTGTTCCCACCAAATGATACCTAAACCAGTTTGATTTATTGGCATTTGGACTAATGAAGTAGTGGTTGGTTCAGTATATTTCTATGTAAAAAATGTTTGTGTTCTGGGTGCCTGGGTGGCTCAGTTGGTTAAGCGACTGCCTTCGGCTCAGGTCATGATCCTGGAGTCCCAGGATCAAGTCCCGCGTTGGGCTCCCTGCTCAGCGGGGAGTCTGTTTTTCCCTCTGACCCTCCCCCCTCTCATGTGCTCTCTCTCTTATTCTTTCTCTCAAGTAAATAAAATCTTAAAAAAAAAAAAGTGTTTGTGTTCTCTGTTACATGTTCAATATATTTCTATGTAAAATATTCTCTTTAGCAGGATGAAGTTAAAGGAAGTAGACCGTACGGCCATGCAGGCCTGGAGCCCTGCCCAGAATCATCCCATTTACCTAGCTACAGGTAAGTTCAACAGAGAGAAGATAGTATGAGTCACTTAATTTCTTCTTTTCCACATTTGGTTTATTCATACCTGTCCTTTAAAACTCATTTCGAGCTTCATCTCTTCTAGAAAGCTTCTCCTTCTCTAACGAGGTAACTACATCCTCCCTTTCAGCTGAGTTTAATGACCTTCCTCTCTGTTCCCTTTAGCACCTTGTTCATCATAGCATTAATCATGATGGGGCGCCTGGGTAGCTCAGTCAGTCAAGTACCTGCCTTTGGCTCAGGTCATGATCCCAGGGTCCTGGGATTGAGCCCCACATCGGGTTCCCTGCTCAGCAGGGAGTCTGCTTTTCACTCTCTCTCTGCCCCTCCCTCACTCATGTGCGCCCACGCGCGCGCGCACACACACACACACACACACTGTCTCTCTCTCAAATAAATAAAATCCTTAAAAAAATCATATTACATTTATAGTGTCTTCCTCACTTCATAAGAATTATGTTTCATCTTTATTCCTCCAGTATTAAGCACAAGAGATAACATGTAAAAAAAAGTTAATCAGTTGAAGAACAATTTTGATGCTAGCATTTTTATACAAAAAGAGAGTTACATCATTTATGACTATAAGCAGGTATAGTAAATCAAGAGACTGTTTTTACAGAGAGCTTTCAAAATATCTACAGGTTTAAAAAGTTATCTGCACTATCTGCTCTTACAAACATCATCTCTGAGCCTTGTATCAGAATCTCATTGCTATAGTAATTTAAGCATCTGTTCAATGGCATGCATCCTGAGATGTTAGTCACTAATGGAGCATTCGTGAGTGAGATCATTGGAAAACATGCATTTAATTTCTGTTTTGTATGGTTTTCTCTGAGTCTTTTATTTTTGCATTGTAGTTACCATAAATGTATTTTCCGTAGGAACATCTGCTCAACAATTGGATGCAACGTTTAGTACCAGTGCTTCCCTTGAGATATTTGAATTAGATCTTTCTGATCCATCCTTGGATATGAAATCTTGTGCCACCTTCTCTTCTTCTCATAGGTATGAGATTGATGAATATTAAATTCACATTATTTATGGTTGTGGTTATTGTGGTTGATGCCTAGTTTGTCTATTGTAAATATGTTATTATTAGAAACTGCAGGGAATACCATCAATGACATGAAATATTTTGTGAAAAAGTATATGATTGAATTTCTATGGAAGTAAAAGAAGGGTCTGTATGTTCTATTGACTTCTTTATTGCCAACTGACATGTGTAGGATAGGAAGGAGAGGCTCAATTTTCTAGTAGTTTTTTTCCTCGTGATATAGTAGACATACTGTCTTTTATCTCCATTTTCTCAACTGTTTACAAAAAAGGGATAGGTATGGCTTAAAAAAAGAGTAGTTGGATGAATATTAAGGTGTTAGAAGTGATTATCTCTGAATGGTAGGTTATTTTTTTATTGTGCTTATCTATATTTAGAAATATATCTCACAAAGATTTTTGTTGACATGATTTCTGATACAGTAGGTATTTGGGTCATCTTTCCAAGTACTTAACATCCTATCATAATGCAGAAAAAAGACACTTTCATTTGAGTAGTAAAATATGCTTTATTGTCTCAGTAGCTTGGCAGATTTTGGTGAAGAGATTGTACTCTAGCAAACAGCACATAGCTCAAATCATGGAGTCTCATGGGACCTCTCACAGTTTTCAGAGCTCTCCCATTGTGGTGGGAACCTCAAATACCTTTTGTCTGTCAGTTTTCCTACTCACCACCATTTGTGTCATTGTATACTTCCATGCCACCTTCATATTTCAAATCTTTATTCTCCACCAGTGGGGGTACTTGTCATAATAACCATAATTTTGATGTCACTTTTCCACTGTTGGAATACATTACTTTTCTTAGAAAATGTTATATACCTTCTTTAACGCCTCTATTGCTTAACAAACCTCTTGTCAGTGACTAGTTCTATAGTCAAATAATATCAAGGGAAGTGGTTGGTTAGAGCTGTTTTACAGATGAACCAAAAGCAGCTTAGGAAGATTCAGTAACTTGTCCAGGGTCTCACAGTTTCTAAATGGTAAAACCATTCTTAAGTCCATATCTTTTGACACACAAATCAGGTATACTTTTTGACATATTACCTCTACCAGAAAGCTTTTACTCTTCAGGATTATAAAATCAAGTATGCACATATGAATATAAATAAACACTAAAATGCCATTTCACCAAGTCATGCACGGTTACCAAGAATAGAGGAGAAGCTATGTTTTTATTTATTAAAACATATGGAATTGAATTTATAATCTCAAATGCTTTTCTATAACTATTTGACTTAAATCAGTTATTTACTCATTTTCTCTTAAAGGTACCACAAGTTGATTTGGGGGCCTCATAAGATGGATTCCAAAGGGAATGTCTCTGGAGTTCTGATTGCAGGTGGTGAAAATGGAAATATTATTCTTTATGATCCTTCTAAAATTATAGCTGGAGACAAGGAAGTTGTGATTGCCCAAAATGACAAGCATACCGGCCCAGTAAGAGCCTTGGATGTGAATATTTTCCAGGTTAGACTTTTGACATTTATTCATAATTCTTGAGATATGTACTGCTTATTTGAAATAAGCATATGAATCTGCTATGCCTCAGTCTTGGAATTAAAAGCTAAAAATGTGTGCCTGTGCAGGTTGATGAGTGAGTGTATTTTTTTGAAGAATGGAGGGTTCAGAGTTGGGATCAAGGTAAATGATAATAACTCCATGGAGGGGATCAGGCAACGAAGGGTCAGGCAGTCTACTTTTACCATCATAAACATTACTGAATATTAATTATATAAATGTATAGTTTAGCAAAGATCTTGAGTTAATAGGATATTAGAGCATAACAACCAAAACATGAATATTATCTCAAAGTTTAAAATAATTATTTTTCTTGTATTATAAATAAATACTTAGGGTATAGAAATACAACCTGAACTTCTTTTCCATAGTTTATGGTGCCTACTCTTTAGATTAGATAGTTAGTTCCTTTGTTAATTAGTTTAAGCAGCAGCTGCTTCTTGGTTAGTATCTTGTGTTATAGGTGACTACAACCATAGAATTCCTCTGTTTTCATAGTTATATGTCAGTTGATCAGAGAAGAATTTATGAGAGTGAATAATAAAGGATCAAAGCCAATATATGAAACCCATTATCTTTCTGTACTTCCTATCACAGTTGTAGGGTCTTTTTGACCCTAAAGGTATGCAACAGAGAGAACCTAGAAATACTGCCATCCAGAACAAGATTGAGTGTAAATGAACTAGAAAGACATGAGGATTTAAGACAAGAGATTTTCCAGAAGCTGACTTTGAAGTATCCAGAGATAGATGCCATTATTTTAAGATTCAGTTATTTGTCTGAAAGCAATAATTGGTTTTGCCTATTTTTGTCTCTCACAATCAGATCCCCTTCCTGTACAAATGATAATCCCCACATGGTTGCATGATTGTTTAAGAATTTATCCATATAATTATTTTTTAATCTCTTATAATGCCAGTAGACCTACTGTCTTTTTAGTGAAATAGAATTTTATAACATGCTTCTCTGAAAAACTATTGCAATTTCAGATTATTATCCATAGCTTTTAGGAATTCATGAGTTTTGTTTTTTTAATTAAATAGAAAAGTTGTATACCCTAAAACTGATGGAGCTGTCTCTGAACAGTTACTTAGAGTTCTCTGAATTATTCATAAATGCTACTTCATTATTAATTATTTCTTACTGCAGACTAATCTGGTAGCCTCTGGTGCTAATGAATCTGAAATCTACATTTGGGATCTCAACAATTTTGCAACTCCAATGACACCAGGAGCCAAAACACAGGTATTGCATTGATTTTGATGTAATCAGAAGAACCAAAATTGGTTCTTCAACACTTACTTATTTCATTTTTTTCACACAAAATATATTTGTTTAAAATCAGTGTTCAGATGTTACTGATTTTCCTTCAGTATAGCAAAGTATTAGTAAATGTGTTTTTCAAAGTATCAGTGAGTCCTTCAACAGCAAATATTTATTCAGTGCCTACCACCAGATACTGTTTGGTGTACTAGACATATAGTAATGAATAAAATAGACAAGTCTGATAATTTTTTAGATACAGTATTTTATATAGTATAATATTTTGTGTTGTATAGTATTTTGACAATATCGCACCTTAGAATAAAAATCATAGACTAGAAAGGAAACTTACTTTTTAAAAAAACAACTCAGCCCCTTTCCTATATATTTCTGTAAGTTAAGAAAGAACAGTCTTCTACTTGCCTCTTTGAAGTTCGTGTTATATAGACTACTCAAATTGAGTAGCCATTATACTGGGCCCCAACATTCTGGCCATCTCAGAGGTAGTAAAATGATAGCATATGATCTACCATTTATTTTTATTTATTTATTTTTTAAGGATTTTATTTATTTGAGAGAGAGAGAGAGAACACATGGGGGTGAAGGGCAGAGGGCAAGGGAAAGAGAGCATCCCAAGCAGGCTCCCCGCTGAGTGTGGAGCCTGATGTGGGGCTCAATCTCAGAACCCTGAAATCATGACCTGAGCTGATATCCAAGAGTTGGACACTTAACCCACTGAGCCACCCAGGCGCCCCTAGGCTGTAAGTTTTGCTCTGCCTGGTTGTCCATCATACTTATCAATGTCTACTTTGTAGTTCATTATCTACCTTGTGGCAGTTGCAAATTAAGAAAAAGTGCTTGATTTGTAGCAAGAGCTTAATAAATGCTGGTGAATGAGACAATATTAAACAAGATAAAATACTTGAATTTGGCACATACCTGAGCTCTAAATTGTATTATATTTATTGAGAACTTATGAATATAAAAAAATTTGTGGAATAGATCAGATTTTAATTAATTCATTTTTTAAAAACAAGGATCAGATTTTGTACTTAAATTTGATCATAACTGAGAAATGGTTTTTAGCAGTTTCTTCCTTTTAGCCCCCAGAAGATATCAGCTGCATTGCATGGAACAGACAAGTTCAGCATATTTTGGCATCAGCCAGTCCCAGTGGCCGGGCCACTGTATGGGATCTTAGAAAAAATGAACCTATCATCAAAGTTAGTGACCATAGTAACAGGGTAAGTATATGATTGATTTGTCATATACAGAAACATGCTATGTTTCTGCTGTACGTATTTCTATATTGTTTGTCAGTGCTGACAACAAATCAAATTTTTGTAAAGTCAAATCCTGTCTTTTCATGGACCAATCATGTTGGAATGAGGTTTTTCCTTGGGGAAGATAAAAAAATTTCTAATAAACCATGTTGGATATTGTTAATGATGAAGAGAGAGATTGTTAATTAAATACCTTATTCCATGATGTACTGGTTGTTTTTACTAGCTGTTTCAAAGCATTATAGCAACTTTTTAGCTTTCTCTAGAATGTACACATTTTTCCAGCTGATAATTTTATGACAGTTAACTCGTAGTTTCCAAACTCCTGGCTTTATCTCTTCTGATTAGGTACTGCTAAAGTGAGCTAATATTCTGTTTGCCTAGTAGATGTAGTTGTATAACACATTAAATTTTTGACCTTACAAATTCCTTAATACTGTGTCATAATGTGCTATAAAATATTTTAGACATAATAAGGGCTTTATTTTGTTAGTTTTTAATTACATTGTTTAGTTTGACATTTTTAAAAACAAGTTTGCCTAAATCAGAGAATACATATATAATTTAACAATAACCACAAAAAAACTATTTAAAAAAATATTTCTTCAGGATATTGTTTTTCAGTGAAATAGGAATTTTAAGACAAGTTTTAATTGAATAAAGCATACAATAAGCATTTCCATTATCTTCTGGAACACTTAATAGGATATGAATGTCCAGGTAATTCTCAGTAATACTGTTAATTTATTCCATGTGAAAATTTAAATGGTAGCTGTTGCTTTAGACGTTTTGTCTTGATTTTTTTGACAAAATAGAGGAAAGGTGTGGATTTTTTTTTGTTACAATCTTTTTTTTAAAAAGATTTATTTATTTATTTGTGAGAGAGAGAGAGAGAGAGAGAGAGCATGCTCCATGGGGGAGGGGCAGAGGGAGAGAGACAAGAGAAGCAGACTGTCCACTGAGTGTGGAGCCCGACGTGGGAGCAATCCCAAGACCCTGAGATGAACTGAAAACATTTAAACTTTTTACTTTTAAGAGTACTGTTTAAGGCTGTTTAATAAAATTTAATAGTTTTAAAGAGACATCATATCTTGAAGGCTCCAAATGCAGGCTCTGGAGATAGCTGTCAGGATTCAAAATTTAATAGTTTTAGGTTTTGTTTTTTGTTGTTTTTTAATAAACTAAGCCTGAACCGATGTTTTCTACTGTTTGTTTCAACAAAGGCATGTTCCTCAAGCTCATTTTGGCTCTTCATAAAGTAATAGGATTGATACATTGTGAGCCTTAACTATCTGCAGATGCATTGCTCTGGGTTGGCGTGGCATCCTGATGTTGCGACTCAGATGGTGCTTGCCTCTGAGGATGATAGATTACCAGTGATCCAGATGTGGGATCTTCGCTTTGCTTCCTCTCCACTCCGTGTCTTGGAAAACCATGCCAGGTATCATGCTGCTCTTCCAAGGAACTTGATTTGTTTATTTTTAAAAACACATTTACTTATTATTTTGAATTATCAGATAATTATTTTTAAATTCAGGAATCTATTTTGTCTCTTATCTTGTAAAAGTTAGTATAAATGGTTTTTATTTGAAGCAATAATCATCTGATTTTCTGTTCCCAAAAATGGTAGCCAATTCATATCCTAACTACAAAAATGTGATAAAGGATATTCCACTACTTTTTTCACATTATAATTAATAGATTAAAATTCCAGTATATCACCACACTTTACTCTTGACATTATCCAGTTTGATCTTTATTAGGGTCAGAATACTCCATAACATTCAGTGACAAGCAACAGTTAAAAAATTTGTTTTATTTCTAAGTTTTTTTTTTTTTTAAAGATTTTATTTATTTATTTGACAGAGAGACGCAGCCAGAGAGGGAACACAAGCAGGGGGAGTGGGAGAGGGAGAAGCAGGCTTCCCGTGGAGCAGGGAGCCTGATGTGGGGCTCGATCCCAGGACTTTGGGATCATGACCTGAGCCGAAGGCAGACACTTAACAACTGAGCCACCCAGGTGCCCCTATTTCTAAGTTCCTATTTTAATTTAAAAGCATAGAAATTGAGATTATTCTGCTTTTATTTTGATTTTTAATTTTTTATTATTTTTTTAAGATTTACTTACTTTTGAGAGTGAGAGCACAAGCGGGAGGGGCAGAGGGAGAGGGAGAAAGAATCTCAAGTAGAGAGCACAGAGCCCAACTTGGGGCTTGTTCTTGCAATCCTGAGATCACAACCTGAGCTGAAACCAAGAATTGGACCCTTAACCAGCTGTGCCATGCAGGTGCCCCTGCTTTTAATTGTAATAAATGTGCAGATTCTCTAAAAAGATATGAGTGGGGTGCCTAGTTGGCTCAGTAGATAGAGTGAGGGGTTGTGAGTTCGAGCCCCACTTCGGGTGTAGAAATTAATTTAAAAAAATCTTTAAAAAATTAAAAAAAAATAAAAGATATGCAAATTTTCTCATGTTAGGTTCGGTAGCATTAAATTTAATTATAATTTGGCATGTTTCCTAACATTGATTTTCAGGTACCCAGGGAGTTTATATGTATTTGTTCGATAGTTTGAAACAAGAAGTAAATCCCTTTTAATGTTACAATATTTTCTGAGTACTTTTGGGCTTTCTTTCTTACTTAGGGATATATAGACTAAAGCTTTAAATCCTATTTTCCCACTGGGTAGTGGATTTGCACACTAAGAAGTCTTAAAGTTTGTGACCTCTCCTTTAGCTTCTTATAAAGGAGAAAAGAGTCCAGTAAAAATGTAATCCTATTTAGATGTTATGCTTCAATCAGCTTTTTAGTGAAGAAGGGATGATTCTGATAAGTTTTAATATTTTTTCTATGTTAGATAAGGTTTTGTTCATTCATTCAGCACATACTTATTGAACATGTGTTCTGTACTAAGATTCAGTGGTATAACATAAAAATCCCTGCCTTCAGGGAGTTTATATTATAGTGGGAGGACAACTAACATTTGTATAACATGTAAAGTGTACAAGAACTTTAAATATTAAGTCAATTAATCCTCATAACAAGCCTATGGTGTAGATACTATTAACCCATTTTACAAATTGGAAATTGAAGCTCAGCAATGTAAACTTCACCTAGGTCATATAACTAGTCAAGTGCTGACTTCTGACCCAAACATTCTGATCCCAGAATCTGTGCTCCTAACTCTATATTTTACTGCCAGTTTTAGGTGTGATCAGAATTTAGCAAGACAGAAGACCACACTGAGTTGCAGGAGCAAATCAACTCTCTGCTTTCTCAATTTTCTCCTAATAATATATGCAAGAAGGTGGATTAGATGATATTTAAGATCCTTTCCTGCTCTATAATTCTGTGATTTTTTTTTTTTTGGTCTTTAATACTTAGTAAGAACCTAAATGTTCTTTAAAATGTGATATTAAATATGTATGAATTTCTTTAAAAGGCATTCTTGGGGATCCTGGGTGGCTCAGTCGTTAAGCGTCTGCCTTCAGCTCAGGTCATACCGAGCCCTGCATCAGGCTCTCTGCTCAGCGGGAAGCCTGCTTTTCCCTCTCCCACTACCCCTGCTTGTGTTCCCTCTCTCGCTGTGTCTCTCTCTGTCAAATAAATAAAGAAAATTAAAAAAAATAAAAATAAAAGGCATTCTTGACATACTTGATTTTCTTGACATGTATGATTCGATTCTAAAGGGGGAGCAGTTAGAAAGTATATTATTGATGCAATTGGGGAAATTTGAATATGGACTATATATTTTTAAATATTGTATATAAGTAATAAATATTTTCAGTATATAATTGTATTATGTTATGCAGAAGAATGCTGTGATTGTTTTTTTGGTCAATGGTCATTGTGTATATGGAGAGAGAGAGAAAACCACATAAAGTAAATGTAGCTAAACCAATGAGTCAAAGTGAGGAGTATAAGGCTGTACATCATACTGTCCTTATAATTTTCACAAAGATTTTAACTTTTTAAAAATAAAATATTGGAAACAAAAGGCAGTCTTAAACAATTTGGGTTCTTTTCCTATACTGTGTTCTCCTGATTCTGAGAGGATATTGAACATCTTTACAGTGATCAAAGAACATACACATTCCTAAGTTGCTTTCCGTAAAGATTATATGAAATTATGCTTCTGTTAGCAGCATGTGTCTCCAGAGCCTAGACAGGAATCATTTGGAGACTTGGTTTTCTCAAGATTAAAAATTTCTTCATCTTGTGTTTTATCTAGGGGGATTTTGGCAATTGCTTGGAGCATGGCAGATCCTGAATTGTTGCTGAGCTGCGGAAAAGATGCTAAGATTCTCTGCTCCAACCCAAACACAGGAGAGGTATAAGGGGGAAATATTTGTCAGACTTATAGCTACTATAATATTTATTCTCTAGCTGAATAAGAAATTTTCCATATGGATTCTTTAGTGCATTAATATAATTAAGGACATGGAGATAGAGGTATGTGTGAAATGTTAATCTAGGAGAGATTTTATCGGTAATATTATTTAAGCTCACCTGTTTTATCCAAGAAAATCAGCCATTGAAATAGCTTATTTGAAATTAGTAATCATCCCCTACCCCCCATTTCTAATAAAAGGTGTTTACCTACACTCAGAAGTACTTGGTTTGATTTATTTAACATGTGATCTCTGAAAATCAGTGCTTTTAAAGCAGGAGTGTTCAAGATTTGGGTCTTTTTCCTGCTTTACCATTCCTGAATATCCTCTCTGATTTTGGAAATCAGTAGATGTATGTTTTTAATTTCTCTTCTGTACTATACAGCAGGAATATACTTTACAATATTTGTCGTATGTTCTACCCATAGAAATTAAGATGTGGGAAATTTTACCTCTTCTTCAATATCAATGTTATATAAATATAACTTAATTACTTTTAATTGCTTTGGATTAAATTAATGGGCTAAAAAAATCTCTATTCTAAAAATTATTTTTCTTAGTTGAATGATTTCCCTCTTTTTCAGTATTGGGCAAGAGGCCATAGATTTTTGTTTTTTAAGTTTTTATTTTATTTTTTTAAGATTTTATATATTTATTAGATAGAAAGAGAGCTCGAGCACCAGTTGGGGGGAGGGGGCAGAAGGAGAGGGAGAAGCAGACTCCCGCTGAGCGTGGAGCCCAATGAAGGGCTCGATCCCAGGACCCAGGCAGACGCTTAACCATCTGAGCTACCCAGGCACCCCTCTTCAGTTGGTTTTAATGTATAATATTAAAATAGAAACAAGCACTTTTGTTACTTGATTTGTGGTTTAAAGTTTTCGGATGCAGTGATATCTAGAAGAATATAGAAACATTAAAGTTAGGGGAGGTAGGAGAAAAAAAATTAAAGTAGTAAGTTTTGCCTCATATGTTTGTAGACCAAATAATAAAATCTTGCATTTTATACTGTGCCTTCCCAAGGGAGTTCAAAATCATGGAAATTACTGTTCTAATTTTCTCAGTTATATGATTTGATAAAATGAATTTTGCATATGATTAGTTGTGTGTACTTGGACTTTGAAGGAATAAACTTTTAGTACATGCTGCAACTAAAAAGTTTAGTAGATTTTTTTATTCAAATGCAAATTAGGAATAGAACAGTGGTTTAAATAACATGAATAATGAGTCTTATCAACCAGTTTAAGGCTTAAAGATGAGTAGGCTAGGTACCTTTTCACTTAATTCTGTTTTCTTATAAAATAAAACATTTAAAACATCCCACCAAGTCCACGTTAAGATAATTTGACTTCTTAAAGCCATAAAACCAGGGTGCCTGGGTGGCTCAGTCAGTTAAGCATCTGCCTTCGGCTCAGGTCTTGCTTCCAGGGTCCTTGCATCTAGCCCTTTGTCCATCAGGCTCCTTGCTCAGCCAGGCTCCTTGGTCAGCAGAGTCTGCTTTCCCCTCTCCCTTTGCCCCTCCCCCTGCTCATGCTTGTGCCCTTTCTCCCTCTGTCTCAAATAAATAAAATCTTAAAAAAAAAACACGTAAAACCTATGCTCTTTAGGTGCATCAGTTATCATCACACTAACTTTGAGTTAGCAGTAATTATTACATTGTAAAGATTTTATATTAACCGTTTTTTATAGTTTTTCCATATTTTCCTTCTAAACTGTTTATGCTGAATCTGTTTCCATTCTGCAGTAATACAAACGATGTATACATGTTTTTGCTTGACTAAAGACCAGATTTCTCAGTGAATTCTTCCTTCTTGAGGCTATTTTTTAAATGTGTTCTTCAGATAGCCTAAATATGGTTGTTTGGATCTTGGCAAGCAAAAATTGTTGGGCAGAAGACCATTATCTTTTAGAGTTTTAACAAGCTGATTCTTATTTTTTCTGGTCTTTCAGATACACCCGCTACTACCACTTCAATAAAAACAGAAAAACCTTAGTTTTTAATACATACTTATTCTAAATCTGGTCAAAATTTTGAAGAAGCATTCATTTTTATCATAATAGATCACCATAGTGGACTCCTTTTATACTTTAAACAAAATTTTACAGTTGTTTTTCCTGGCTCAACATACTTTCTGAAAGGAATTGTTTAATTAAGCTGCACATGTTGATCATATTAATTTGGGTGTTTTGGCTGTAAAGTGGCTATACCATTTTCTGACTTTTGTTGTTGTTGCCTAGGTGTTATATGAACTTCCTACCAACACGCAGTGGTGCTTTGATATTCAGTGGTGTCCCAGAAATCCTGCTGTCTTATCAGCTGCTTCCTTTGATGGGCGTATCAGTGTTTATTCTATCATGGGTGGGAGCGCAGATGGCTTAAGGCAGAAACAAGCTGACAAGGTAATAGAAAGTGTTAAAATTTTCAATCTTAACATTTGAAAAATACCATCTTATTGTTTAATTATTTTGAAAATGACTTCAGTAATCAGTGCTACTGATTAATTGGATAATTGTGATAAAAATATTTCATGGGTATAACTTGAAAACATGTAACATAATCTCATATAAATTACAAATTTTCATGTTATTATGTTTTTTAGCTTTCATCATCTTTTGGAAATCTTGATCCCTTTGGCACAGGACAGCCCCTTCCTCCATTACAAATTCCTCAGCAGGCTGCTCAGCATAATATAGTGTTGCCTCTGAAGAAGCCACCCAAGTGGATCCGAAGACCTGTTGGTGCTTCCTTTTCAGTAGGTGGATTTGTGTTTTTATGGTCCATAAGCATGAAGGACTTCCCGTAGTAAAGTGTTCTTATAGGATCACTCCGATGGAAGAAGATTGAGGTGTGTCTGTAGGTTTTTCATCATTCAGAATGGTTTCTCAGGAAAAATGGGACCTTCTCGTTTTCGTTTTTATTTTAAATTGTGGTAAAATATAAATAACATAAAATTTACCATTTTAACCATTTAGAAATATACAGTTCGGTGGCATTAAGTACATTTACGTTGTTGTGCAACCTTCACTGTCCATCCCATTATTAAACTTATCTTCCTTCTCTATCTCTCCTTCCTTCGATCTTTTTTTTCTTTTTTTCTTTGGAGGAAGGTATATCTGTGTATCCTCCTTCCTTCTCTTTATTCTTTCCTTCTAGCTTTTTTTTTTAATTGCCAATTTCCTTTTTTATGGTAAAAAACATGTAGCATAAATTTACCATTTTAACCCTTTTTAAGTGTACAGTACAGTATGTTAACTATATATACTTGTTATGCAACAGATCCTCAGAACTTTTTTATCTTGCAAAACTGAAACTCTTTTCCAGTTGAACACCTGCTCATTTTTCCCTTCCCCTAGCCCCTGGTAATCACATTCTACTTTCTGTTTCTATGAGTTGGACAACTTTAGATACCTCATATAAATGGAATCATGCAATATCTGTCTTTTTGTGATTGTTTTGTTTCATATCACGTAATGTCCTCAAGGTTCATCCATGTTGCTGTGTATGACAAGATTTCCTACTTTTAAAAGGCTGAATAACAGTCTACATTTTCTTTATCCATTAATTTATCAGTGGACATTAAAGTTGCTTCCACCTCTTGCTAGTGTGAATAATGCTACAAAGAACATTTGTGTGCAGTTATGTCTTTGAGATACTATTTTCAGTTCTTTTGGGTATATACCCGGAAGTGGGATTGCTGGATCTTATATGGTAATTCCGTTTTTAATTTTTGAGGAAACTCCACATACTGTTTCCCATAGTGGCTGCACCATTTTACATTCCCATCAACAGTGCACACGGGTTCTAATTTCTCTACATCCTCAGTAACACATGTTATTTTCTGGTTTTTTAGATAACAGTCATCCTAATGGATATGAAATGATATCTAATTGTGGTTTGATTTGCATTTTCCTAATGATTAGTGACGTGGAGCATCTTCTCATGTATCTTGGCCATTTGTTTTGTATGTCATCTTTGGAGAAATGTCTGTTCAAGTCTTTTGCCCATTTTTTTAATCAGGTTGTTTGGGGTTTTTTGTTATTGAGGTGTAGGAATTCTTTATATATTCTGAATGTTAACTCTTTACCAGATAAATGATTTGCAAATATTTTTCTCCTATTCTGTAGCTTTTTTATTCTGTTGATTGTTTCCTTTGCTGTGTAGAAGACTCATTTGTCTATTTTTGCTTTTGTTGCCTGTACTTTGGTATTATATCTCTATCATTGCCATATTAATGTCCTCAAACTGCAGCTTAGAAAACTCTGGTTATTCCTATAGACCAGAAAGAAGAAATAAAGTCCTTTCCTAAATATTTTAATTTCACTACTGTTTTTAAGTCTTGCATAGAAGAATCCATCTCTCCAGTGTTGGGTTACTTTCTTCGTACAACCTACAGGTACAATAAAACTTCATTAGTGATATTAATAGTTAAAGCGTATTTATTTACTGTGTGCCAGCCACTTTCTAAGCATTTTGCATATAGTAACTCATTAAATTCTCACAACTGCTTATAAAATAGCTACCACTATTACCCCCATTTTGTAGATAGAAAGGCGCAGAGAAATTAATAACTTGTCTAATCTTACACTTATAAAGATTTTAGCTATTCTCTTGCCAGTCGAATCAGATGCCTACTGTGCATAATGATGAGAGTGAGTCTCTTGGTAATAATGCCCAAAACTAAGGTACTAAACTTATATTATTTGGGGCACCTGGTGGTTCAGTCAGTAGAGCGTGTGACTCTTGATCTCGAGGTCATGAGTTCAAGCCCCACACTGGGGGAGAGATCACTTAAAAAATAAAAATTTAAAAAAAGCTTACATTATTCAGCTTCTCCATCATCATAACAGAATTTATATGCATCATAAAATTATATATATTCACCTTTATCAAAACTGAGTGAATGATCGCCTCTGGAGTTACTATTGAGTTCTTACTATCATTCTTCTATTAGTCAAGCTCAGAACTTTTTTTCAATCTCTCATATTTTTTTTCGATCTCTTATATTGCTCTCTTTATAAATCTCTTGGATTTAATTCTTCCTTTAACTTTTGCTGTTACGCTGCCTAATTCTTCATCTTTTCACACTGAACTGTTATATGATTGCCTGTCTATTGCTTGCCTATTCCCCCGCCAATCTATACTACATCTCTAGATTAATCTTCCTAAGATAGACTTTTGATTATGTCACTCATAAATCCATCTTTTGGATTTAATTAATCTTCTCATCCCTCCTGTTTAGTTTTCTCTACTATCTCTACTCTTGCCTTGGAATCTTTTCCTTTGTTTATGACTTCCCACTTTTTTTACTGAATACTAACCATTCATCCAGTTACTTCCTTCCCTAAGTAACTAAAACAATTATTATTATAAAATTGTATATGTACAGGTTTAAAAGAAAACCAAAATGTGCAGAAAAGATCCCCCCAAATATAAGCTTCTTGAGGACAGACTGTCTAGTTCACAGGTATGTTTCCAGTGCCTAGAATGGTCCCTGACAAATAGAAGGTGTTCACTGTGTATTTATCTTAGAAATGAGAAGTGAACATCTTTCCCCTCCCCTCGCTAGTATTAGAGTATTATAAAGACAATAACACTCTTCTGAGTTTAGAACGGAATAAGAGAGATGGAGAATCAAAGTATCAACTTTAGTGCTGCCATAAGCTAGATTGGAGGCTACAGTTTAGATGTCTAATCATAGTGGGCCTTGTAACAAACTAGAACATAGAAGACTCTGTGAGAGCTGGGCTGTTTTGTTTGCCTCTATATCCCCAGGATCTGATTTAATAAACATGTTTTTAGCTTTACGTCTGTATTAGGCTGCCTTACTGACCAAGTTACAGGCAAATCTAGGTACTGTAGAACTTTCCTTGAAGGTGCAGGCAGCTTATCCACATGGACTATTGCTCTAGGTGGGAAGACAACTGTAAAAAGCCCTGAAGAGCTGATGTAAGCATGCTTCATTTCTTTCCTGAGGAACGTCAGTCAGTCCTTTCCCAGGGCAGTGTGAAGGACAGAGAAAGGCTGGAAGTGTTCCTCCTGTTAGTTCCTCTTATGGAGTATAAGGAAAATGCCCTCTCTGTGAACATGAGGGGTAGAATGTCAGTGTCCTTCTCAAATATCTTTCGGTTACGTGTTCTTTTGTGATTATCTTTATAAATGTAAATAATTTACCTAAACATCCATGTCTCAGTATATCAGCTTCATATGGTACTAATTGAAACTCTTCTATTCAATATTAAATTAGTGCAATTATATACTTCCTTCCAGTTTTTCCAATTTTTTCCTTTCCAAATGTTTTATTTCTGCCAATTTTTGTAAATTACATTATTTTTATATTGTTAAGATATTTAAGTTTTCCGTATTTGTTTTGGTTGGTTTGAAAAAATGACGGCTGACAAGAAGCACTTACATAATTTTTTACGCTGCTTTTTTAATTTTTATAATTAAATTTAAATTCAATTAATTAACAAAGCACGTACATTATAATTATATAATATTATAATACTATTACACAGAAGCAGGTAAATGAATAAGCATAATCCTCTTGTGAAACACAGTTTAGGTCTTGCTTCTGGGGGGTGCAGTTTTCACCAGCTTCCCTAAACGTGGGGAAACCCACTTGCCCTTAAGCTGTGAAGTTCATATGATGTGTGGTATTATCTGCATCTCATTTAGAACTTACAGGTGCCTGTTGTGTCCAGTTTTATTCTCATGTTAAATTCCTTAAGGATAGGGCGCCCGGGTGGCTCAGTCGTTAAGTGTCTGCCTTCGGCTCAGGTCATGATCCCAGAGTCCTGGGATCGAGTCCCACATTGGGCTCCCTGCTCAGCAGGGGGCCTGCTTCTCCCTCTCCCACTCCCCCTGCTTGTGTTCCCTCTCTCGCTGTGTCTCTCTCTGTCAGATAAATAAATAAAATCTTTTTAATAAATAAATAAATTCCTTAAGGATAGTGGTTTATGTTTTGTTGGTATTTCAGTTTACATAAAAACAGTAATCCTTACACAAAAATTACTGATTATAAAGAACCAGATTTGGTCCTGTGTTTCCTTCTTTACCTATATTTATTTGTATAAATATATTAATCAGATAATAACTGTTTACTTGCTATATACAAGATATTGGGTACTGTAGGAGATAAAAAAATAAAGTAGATACAGAACCACAATCCTTATAAGTATAGGGGAGGCAGAACTTTGCATCTGCCCTCCTGGGGTTTTCACCTGGACCTGAGAATTAAATTGATATAAGACAAATTAACAGGAGAAAAGCATACAGATTTTTATGTATACCTGGGCCCCCATTGGGAAATGAAAACACAAACAAGTGGCAAAATCTAAGTGCTTATATAGTAGGTTGAAAAAAGAACGGCAGTTGTGGAAAAGTAGTGGTATTATTTATTATCTAAATAATAAAATATTTAGAGAGGCTAAAGGGAGGTAATTGTTACTTAACAAGGTCTGTTTGTACAGATTTCTCTCTTCTCTGGTGATAAGAATGTTTCTTTCCGCCTGGTATAGAGAGGGCAGCTGTCACATGGGAGTTGCATCTCCTGCTTTCAGAAAGAAAAGAGGAGGTCAGGGTGCCCTTATTTCCTGCTGTTTTTCAAGTAGTCCTTAGCTCAAAATAGTCCTTATGCCAAATGGCACATTTTGGAGGGGCATATTCTGCCACCCTTTAAAACTTAGAGCCAAGAACAGAAGGTGAGGCAAATACATAGAAGCTAGTAGTTGAATCAAAAGAAATCTATAATATATGGAGGGCATCCGAGGTGGAAGAGGTGGCGTTTGCCCGGGACTTAAAGAGAAGTAACGTTGAGTATGTGAAAGTTAGTAAAAACAAGTAGGTGAGAAACTGGGGCACAGTAAATAGTACATTTTATCTAGAAGGTAGGTGGTATGAAGAAGAGTAGTGATCGAAGGCTGGGGTCAGATTGTGGAGTATGGGAGACCGTATCAGCTAATTTGATCCAAAGTGAGACCATAGTTCTTTCCATTAGCAGGTTTTTCGGCCTTCTCCTCATGGTTCAAACTGACTTTGTTCATTTTTTCTTTCATAGTTTGGAGGCAAACTGGTTACCTTTGAGAATGTCAGAGTACAGGCCCAGCAGGGAGCTGAGCAGCAGCAACAGCAACACCATGTGTTCATCAGTCAGGTGGTAACAGAAAAAGAATTCCTCAGCCGATCGGACCAACTTCAGCAAGTCGTGCAGTCGCAAGGATTTGTCAGTTATTGTCAGAAAAAGATTGATGCTTCTCAGACTGAGTTTGAGAAAAATGTATGGTCCTTTTTGAAGGTAAAGTTGAGATTAAAACAATTTCGTTATCTGCGAATTTAACTATTCCCATTATATTCTCAATCTGTTCTTATGAAAAAATTATTGCAAGATTGTGATTTCAGGAGCTTCCTGATGACATTAAAGAAACCTTATGAAGAGCACATGACCATAGTTTTATGACAAGAGTTCTTCCCTCTCTGCTTTGAAGAGCCTAATATGAAGTACTTTTTTTAATAAGTGAAAAATGATATAATAGTAACAGAATATTTAATTTCTGAGTAGATCCAATTAAGGAAAATGGGAAAAGAGGGAAGAGTTACAGGGGAGAGAGGTTGGAGGCATTTCTCATTCCTTTTACTGAGTTGCATTTATGACACTAGGAAATAAGAGTTTTCTGGTTGGTCATTTTTCCTCCCCTGGGATGTCTGTTTCTTGATACTGAATTTTCCAAAGAGAGCTTAAATCAATAAGGTTAAATTATAAAATTAATAGAATTTTATATTTTGTAATTATTAATTTGGGGAAAGATTTTTAGGACATTTCGTGTTCCAGAGAGTGTCAGGTTTTGCATGCATATAACCACTGGACATGAGTTAGCTTGTATTTACAAAAATTATAGTTTAAAAGTAAGCTTTGGGGCGCCTGGCTGGCTCAGTCAGTAGAGCATTCGACTCTTGATCTCGGGGTCATAAGTTCAAGCCCCACAGTAGGCATGGAACTTACTTAAAAAATAAAAGTAAGCTTTATTCAACAAGGTTAATTAATTACTAGTATACTTACTATTTTAAGAAGTAACCTATTAAAGGAAACTATTTTGGGGATGCTTTCTTAAACTGAGCCTTCTACGTAATAGATATAGAAAGCTTTCGTTGGTAACAGTAGACTTTAGTAGACTTTATTTTTGATAATTTTTAATAATTCTACTTGGAATTTGATCAAGTAATTAAAAATTTAAAGGCAGAAAAATTTAAAGGCAGGTCTGTATTTCAAGATTATGTCTTCTTTAAAGGTGAACTTTGAGGATGATTCTCGGGGAAAATACCTTGAACTTCTAGGATACAGAAAAGAAGACCTAGGAAAGAAGGTAAATTTCTGCAAAAGTTAAAAGGCTGTGCTTATGCAAGTAAAATATTTATGTAGCCTAAGTGTTCTTATAAACTTCTATACAGATAATCTCAAATCATTCAATAAATATTTAATAAGAATTTGTGTTTGGTTGCCAGAATTCCAAATACATATTATTAAATGTGTAATTACACCTTGTACCTGGATTTAAAAACTGCCAGAACCACCTTGACTCCAAACTTGATTTAAAAGCTGTGTCGTATCAGGTAGAATTGGGTCTTGAAAGATAAGAGGCTATCAACTTCAAACACTGGAAATAACACTTGGATTTTAAGAGGGTGCGTAACCAATGGCCCTGGGGGAAAAGAAAACGAGAGAACTGTTAGAGACCATCCCGTGTTCACTACAGCTTAAGTGATTAAAAATAGAGTACTCGTTCAGATTACCACAGTTTTCTACCCTCGCTGTTCATGCCTTTAGCCCACATTCCCAAACTCTGTATGGAGTTTGTCCAGCTGACAAATAGCTAATAAATATTTTGGAACAAGGGAAATTTATTGTATTGAACCTGAATAAACAAAAGTCCCACTGAGTCACTTAATTTTTTAACTTAGAAAAAGATTCCCTTTTAAAAAGAGAAAGTCATATTCCAGTTACACAGTTTTGTTCTCAAAGAGGGGCTTCATTATTATTCATTCCACAGTATTGACATGAACAGCACGAAAACCTCTCTGAGTTTGGAAACATTGAAGGAGGTATTTTAGATTCTTTGTGTAATTATTATTAGCCCTTTTTTCTTTGAAAGTGACTGAAGTTTTCTGTAGCATTGAAGATTGCCACATAGAAGGTACAGCTTAGATACTGCACACTCTGAGCAGTGCCAGGCACATTGAAGATGTCACATCACAGGCCCACCGCTTACCGGCTGTGTGTCTTTGCTCATTCCTTTAGTTTTTTTACATTTAATTTTATTACTAGTCTGAACTTCATGGTGCTATAACTTTTACAGGTTTGTAAAAGGTTAATATGAAAGTTTTACTAAATACCTAATAGCAAAAAAGAGGAAAAAGAATCTGATTGTCAAAATACTTCTAATAGTTCTTTTTGGTAGTGTGTACTTGAAGAAATTTTTTTTAATTAATTATTGTTATTTAAAGGAAAGTAGAAGAAAACATGCTTGTTTTGAGGTTAGGTTTGTGATTGAATAGCAGATTTTATTCTCTCCTTAAACACCCCATCCCCAATCTGAAATTTGGTGGATTTTTGCCAATGAAAATGGAGAAAGAGGTGAGCATTTGCTATATGCGTTGAAATAGAATTCCATGTAGTAGGTGAGTTGTTGTTTTTATTTCAGATTGCTTTGGCCTTGAACAAGGTGGATGGACCCGATGTGGTAAGAAGGCCTTTAAAAATAGCTACCTTCCAAAATTTGGTCTAGGTTATAACACAGAAGGAAATATAATTTAAGAAATGTGTCTGTTTTATTGCTTTACAGTGTAAAAATAAATGCTGATTGTAGATATTTTAATACGTGAATTCTCATTTTAAAATAGTATAAGTTTAGCTGGTAGAGAGTATTCATTCCTTTCTCTTGATGATACTTGAATTTTGCAAAAGAGGAAAAACAGTATCAGTGACTGCTCAGATACTTGAGGTTAAGATCTTTGTTCCTGGGGGACATTTGGTAGGAAAAAAAGGAAGGTCTTAGTAATAATGGCTCTTTGCTTTTCCTCTGATAGTGTTTCTTAAATCAGTTTACTTAGTGTTGCTTCTTAGGGTTAAACTAGCTCTGAATGTTGTTGGTTGGGTCTTTTGTCTTTCTACGTCACTAATACTCATTTAATGCTACATTCTCAACTTCCCTTGTAATTGTTTTGTGTACCAAAGGCTCTTAAAGATTCTGACCAAGTAGCACAGAGTGATGGGGAGGAGAGCCCTGCTGCTGAAGAGCAGCTCTTGGGAGAGGTACTTATTTCTTTCCTTTTTAATTACATTGGGAAAATATGTGATATTTGTTTATCTCACACTGAAATATGGAAAATTTGCGTAACTACTTGTTCCAAAATGAAGTTGGAATATATTGTTTTCTTAGAGATTTTTGGGGTAGGAATCTGTTTACTTGTTTGACAGAAGTATCATCTATGAAATCTTTAGTTCTTTGAACTAGCTTCGGGATTATATATTTTAAAATTAACAGTTGACATGAGATTGACTTAATTTGGTCAGATGGATATCAGCATGTCAAAATGAAAAGAGATCTTACTCAGAAATCCACAATACATTGCATGTAAAGTTAATGTTTTTTCTTGACACATTAATATTTAGGGCCTGCTCTCAGTGGCAGAGGCTTCTAGATTAGTCTTGAACTTTGAATCCAGGTCTAGAATTTTTCACTAAATAAACTGTCATGATTTATTGATTGTCATGATAAATGTGTCACGAGTTGTAGTTGACAATTTTTATAACCCGTTAAAAAGAGTCCTTGAACACAGAGTTGTATCATTAATTTTTTTCCTTTTGTTTTTCTGGGGTTTTTTTAACCATTACTAAATAATTCTGTACTTTTCTTGCTTTCTAGTTATATTTCATCTTGGAAAATTAATCAACAAGTTCTTATTTCTCATCTCATCTTTGGCCTTTTCATTGTTCTTTCTGATATGGAGATACCCTAACTATAGAATGTTTCTTACAATCCTTAGCTAAGTTATAAGAATAATTCATTGGTAAATTCAGACTTTCACAAGATAATTATTAAAAAACACTTCCCATAGAAGTAGATCTAACATTTATTTAACCTGAGAATAAAGACTATGAGTAAAATCTTTGGAAAGATTTGAACTGATTTTGGTAATACCTATTCAGAATTGTAGGATACATTGAAGGAACGTACTTTCATCTATGTACAACTAGATTAACTATGTATTATCAAATAGAGGACCATTTGGAAATACACCTATGAATCAATAGATCAGAATAATATGTACTTAACAAAATGATAGTCACCAATGTGTACTTTCAGAGTATTTAAAAAAATTTTGTTTAGGGTGGTAAAATCTTCCCCTTTACCTTGATGATGCTATTTATCAGATATAGTAGTTTATATATTGAAAATACTCAATGTGTAATAAGCTGTTTTTTCAGCCTGGTATTTCAGAAGTCCATGAATGGGGGTTTATTAATTGTTTCTTCGAAGACAAATTTGAAAAATTGTGAGTTAAAAAAAAAGAAAAGGTTTTTTAGTAGGTGAATATAATCAGATCAGTATCTGATTTATTTATTAATGTGAATAACTTAAGCTCTAAAATTTTTTAATTTGAGCTTTTAAAGTTCTAAAATGCTTCTCTTTGGTTAGGGAAAGAATTAAGGTTATGGTTATTCTCCTGTAATAGTATTAACTAATTAAGCATTATTTATTTATTTATTTATTTATTTATTTTTTAAAGATTTTATTTATTTATTTGAGAAGGAGAGAATGAGAGACAGAGAGCACAAGAGGGAAGAGGGTCAGAGGGAGAAGCAGACTCCCTGCCGAGCAGGGAGCCCGATGCGGGACTCGATCCAGGGACTCCAGGATCATGACCTGAGCCGAAGGCAGTCGCTTAACCAACTGAGCCACCCAGGCGCCCTAATTAAGCATTATTTACAGATGATGCTACGTTGTGCCCTGCACTAAAATTCCCCAATCCAAAAATGCCCCTGACTTTGAACACTAGGCACTCACATTCAGATGTGTAGGTAATGCGATCACAGAAGATAGGTATTTTATCTCATGCAAGACAACTATGTTTTTCTTTCAGAATTTCTCTGTCATCTCTGATACAATTTATTTTTGTCTTCTTGTGAATTTTTATACATAGAAAGCATTTAAACTATTTGCCAGCAATGTGCCTTCCTTATGTTTCTTTTTACTCAGTCTTACAGGTAGTCTCAGGAGTTTACTCAGTCTTACAGGTAGTCTCGGGAGTTTATAACAGAACTGTGTATCTTTTTACCAGACCAACCTGCTATTGCAGGTATGACTAATTTAAGAGAATACAAAATCTGCAATTGAATTTGAGTAGGTTCATATAGTCTTTTATGTAGCATTTGTACAAGGGCACCAGGTGATTTTTTTTCAAGACTGGTTCAATTAAAATAAAAAGACCTTATTACTAAACCTAATGATCGGACAGAAATTTTTAGACATGTAGAAAATTTTATTTTATATTTTTTAAGATTTTATTTATTTGAGAGAGAGTGAGAGAGAGAGAGCACATGAGAGGGGGTAGGGTCAGAGGGAGAAGCAGACTCCCTGCTGAGCAGGGAGCCCGATGCGGGACTCGATCCTGGGACTCCAGGATCATGACTGAGCCGAAGGCAGTCGCTTAACCAACTGAGCCACCCAGGCGCCCTAGACATGTAGAAAATTTTAGATGTATAGCAGCAGGGTTGTTTTAAAATCTAAATACAGTAAAATTAAAAACGTGTATTTTGCATGTTTCAGGCTATTCTTATTTGAAGTATCTAAGAAAACAAAGATTCTTCAGTAATTTCTGAGCTACCAGTAATAGATTATGTACCCTTAAGGTTTTTTTTTAACATTATTCCTGATTGGGCGCCTGGGTGGCTCAGTCATTAAGCGTCTGCCTTTGGCTCAGGTCATGATCCCAGGATCCTGGGATTGAGTCCCACACTGGGCTCCCTGCTCTGCGGGAAGCCTGCTTCTCCCTCTCCCATTCCCCCTGCTTGTGTTCCTGCTCTCGCTATGTCTCTCTCTGTCAAATAAATAAATAAAATCTTAAAAAAAAAATTATTCCTGATAACCTTGTATTTTATTTATGATTGTATAATGGGAGTTAATACTTAGGAAAGTCTTGGATCTGAGAACTTTTCTGGAATACTTGGCATGTTATCTAGTTAGTAGGTGAATAATCATATATAAATCTTGTTTTGCCAGTAAATTATTCCAGTTTCATTCTGGCTAAATTGCTGTCCTTTCCATCTCTTTAGTGCATTAAAGAGGGAAAACAAGAATCTGAATTTCTACCATCAGCAAGAGGAACATTTAACATCTCCATCAGTGGCGGTAATTTTTTCATTTTGATTTTTAGCTATTTGAAAGCAAATAGTCTCTAAGTTTAGGTTACAAATGTTTTGTCGCAAGTGGTAGAGGGTTGAAAAGAAGAACTCAGTTATTTAGTATATGTAATCGGTCTCTTGGAGATAGTGGTATGTTCTGACATCTCTGTGATAAAAAACTGTATGACAATCTCTATTACTCCAGTTTAAAGAATCTGAAAGATGTGTTATTTTACCTGATTTTACTTACATGCATCTCAGTATATTTCCATAGACCTCAAAAACTTGTGTTAGAAATTAATCCACTAGTAATATTCAGAAGTTAGCATTGTTTTCTCCTTTGTGTGTACATGTAAAAATTGATATGTATAGGATTCTTTTCTTGTAACAAAAACTTTATTTAACTTGGATGTATTATTCCTCATTGCAGATATTGATGGTTTAATTACTCAGGCTTTGCTGACGGGTAACTTTGAGAGTGCCGTTGACCTTTGTTTACATGATAACCGTATGGCTGATGCCATTATATTGGCCATAGCAGGTGGACAAGAACTCTTGGCTCAAACGCAGAAAAAATATTTTGCAAAATCCCAAAGCAAAATTACCAGGGTATGTTATTTTAAAAATAGATAAACTGTAACATTTACCTGTTATAACACTTATAAAAGCAATACAGTCTTACTAAAGATAACTGAAATGCAAAAAGCAGTAAAGAACAAAAAACCCAGTCATAATTCCTTGAACCAGAAATAGTTATTGTCGATAGTTTGGCACTGTTATTATTTTTATTTTTTGTACTTTGTGTATATAACTTTTTTAATGAAAAGTACTTTCATTTTTTTATTGTAGAAAAGTTAGAATATAGAAAAATATAAAGATAAAATATTAATTTTAAAATTATGATTCTTCCATCAAATTGGTACATACCCTTTGTACCTCTTTCTATGTATTTGTAGAATTTTTAAAAACAGAATCAGGCCCATAGATGTGTATATATGCGTGTAGTTTTGCTTATAGATATTGCCACTTACATTGTAAATGGTTTACCATTTCATTAAAGAGTCTTACAAAAATTTTTAATTGCTCTATAATGTTTTATGGTAAGGATATATTATTTCTCTTACTATTGAGGTGTTTAGGCAGTTTCTAATATTTTCCTAATACAGATAAGATAGTGATAAACATCTTTGTTGTGCCCAAGGATTTTATGTGATCTCTAATTATTTAATGAGGCTGTAAGTCCTAGGAAAGGAATTTTTGGTGCAGAGAGTCTGAATATTTTTAAGGCCCTGCTTAATGTTACTAAATTTCTTTCCATAAAAGTTGTCTCAGTGTTCAGTCCTATCAGCATTGGTTGCTGTCAGTCTCCCCTGCCTTATCTCATGTCACTCCCTCCCTTTTATCTTTCAGCCACACTGGCTGCCTTTCAGTTCCTCAGACACTCTATGTGCCTTTCTCCCTTGGGACTTTGCACCTCATGTTCCCTTGACCTGGAATGTCGTGGGTTTTTTTTCTTTTCTTTTTTTTGTTTTAATTTAAATTCAAGTTAGTTAACATACAGCATAATAGTAGTTTCAGGTGTACAATTTAGTGATTCAGCACTTCCATACAATACCTGGTGTACTCCTTAATCCCCATCACCTATTTCATCCACCTTCCTTCTGGTAATCATCAGTTTGTTCTCTATAGTTAAGACTTTCTTCCTGGGTTTGCCCCTCTCTCTTTTTCCCCTTTGTTTATTTGTTTTGTTTCTTAAATTCCACATATGAGTGAAATCATATGGTATTTGTCTTTCTCTGACTGACTTATTTTGAATAACATAATACTCTTTAGCTCCATCCACATCATTGCACATGGCAAGATTTCATTCTTTTTTTATGGCTCAGTAATATTCCATTGTCTGTATATACCACCTCTTCTTTATCCATTCATCAGTCAGTGGACAATTTGGGCTTTTTCCATAATTTGGCGATTGTTGATAATGCTGCTGAAAACATCAGGGTGCATTTATCCCTTCAAATCAGTATTTTTGTATCCTTTAGGTAAATACCTAGTAGTGCAATTGCTGGATCATAGACTAGTTCTATTTTTAACTTTCTGAGGAACCACCCTTCTGTTTTCCACAGTAGCTGCACCAGCTTGCATTCCCACCAACAGTGCATGAGGGTTCCCCTTTTTCTACATCCTTGCCAATATCTGTTGTTTCCTGTGTTGTTAATTTTGGCCATTCTGACAGGGGTGAGATGATATCTCATTGTAGTTTTGATTTGTATTTCCCTGATGATGAGTGATGTTGAGCATCTTTTCATGTGTCTGTTAGCCATCTGTCTTCTTTGGAAAAATGGCTATTCATGTCTTCTGCCCATTTTTTAATTGGATTATTTGAGGGAGGTTGAGCTATATCAGTTTTTTATATATTTTGGATACTGACCCTTTATCAGATATGTCATTTGCAAGTATCTTCTCCCATTCCATGGTTGCCTTTTAGTTTTGTTGATTGTCCTTTGCTGTGCAGAAGGTTTTTATTTTGACGAAGTCCTAATAGTTTATTTTTGCTTTCGTTTCCCTTGCCTCAGGAGACATATCTAGAAAGAAGTTGCTACAGCCTATGTCAGAAAGGTTACAGCCTGTGTTCTCCCCTTGGATTTTTATGAATTCTTGTCTTATATTTAGGTCTTTCATCCATTTTGAATTTATTTTTGTGTATGGTGTAAAAAAGTGGTCCAGTTTATTCTTTTGCATGTTGCTGTCCAATTTTCCCAACATCATTTGTTGAAGAGACTTTTTTTTTGCCATTGGATATTCTTTCCTGCTTTGTCGAAGATTAGTTGACCATATAGTTGTAGGTTCATTTCTGGATTTTCTGTTCTGTTGATCTATATATCTGTTTTTATGCCAGTACCATGCTGTCTTGATGACTACAGCTTTGTAATATACCTTGAAGTCCGGAATTGTGATGCCTCCAGCTTTGCTTTTCTTTTTCAAGATTGCTTTGGCTATTCAGGGTCTTTTGTGGTTCCATACAAATTTTAGGATTATTGTTCTAGCTCTGTGGAAAATGCTGTTGGTATTTTGATAGGGATTATGTTAAATGTATAGATTGCTTTGGGTAGCACAGACATTTTAACAATATTTGTTCTTCCAATCCATGAACATGGAATATCTTTCCATTTCTTTGTGTCATCTTCGATTTCTTTCATCACTGTTTTATAGTTTTCAGAGTACAGGTCTTTTACCTCTTTGGTTAGGTTTATTCCTGGGTATCTTACTATTTTTGGTGTAGTTGTGAATGGGATTGATTCCTTAATTTCTCTTTCTACTCCCTCATTATTGATGTATAGAAGTGCAACAGATTTCTGTACCTTGATTTTGTATCCTGTGGCTTTACTAAATTCCTGTATCAGTTCTAGCAATTTTTTGGTGGAATCTTTGGGTTTTCTGCGTAGGATCATGTCATCTGCAAATAGTGAAAGTTTGACTTCTTCTTTGCCAATTTGGATGGCTTTTATTTCTTTTTGTTGTCTGATTGCTGAGGCTAGAACATCCAGTACTATAATGAATAAAAGTAGTGGGAGTGGACATCCTTGTCTTGTTCCTGACCATAGAGAAAATGCCCTCAGTTTTTCCCCATTTAGGATGATATTACCTGTGAATTTTCACATACGGCCTTTATTATGTTGATGTGTGTTCCCTCTAAACCTACTTTACTGAGAGTTTTTATCATGAATGGATATACCTTGTCAAATGCTTTTTTCTGCATCTACTGAAAGGATCATATGGTTCTTATCCTTTGTCTTACTGATGTGATGTATCATATTGATTAATTTGCGAATATTGAGCCACCCTTGCAACCAGGAATAAATCCTATTTGATCATGATGAATGATTTTTTTTTAATGTATTGTTGGATTCAGTTTGCTAGTATTCTGTTGAAGATTTTTTTTTGCATCTTTGTTCATCAGAGATACTGGCCTGTGGTTTTTTTTTTTTTTAAGATTTTATTTATTATTTTTTTGAGAAAGAGAGTGTGTGAGTGGGAGGAGGAGCAGAAGGAGAGGGACAATCAGACTCTGCGCTGAGCACAGAGCTCTGCATGGGGCCCGATCTCACAACCCTGAGATCACGACCTGAGCTGAAACCAAGAGCCGGATGCTCAACCAACTGAGCCACCCGGGCGCACCTATAGTTCTTTTTTCTGGTATCTTCATCTGGTTTTGGTATTAGGGTAATGCTGTCCTCATGGAATGAATTTCGAAGTTTTCTATTTTTTGGAAGTTTGAGAAGCATAGATATTAACTCTTCTTTAAATGTTTGGTAGAATTTGCCTATTAAGCCATCTGGTCCTGGACTTTTGTTTTTTGGGAGTTTTTTGCTTACTGAATCAGTTTCATTGCTGGTTATTGGTCTGTTCAAATTTCCTATTTTCTATTTCTTCCTTTTTCAGTTTTGGTAATTTATGTTTCTAGGAGTTTACCTGTTTCTTCTAGGTCGTCCAATTTGTTGGCATATAGTTTCTCATAATATTCTCTTATAATTTCTTGTATTTCTGTGGTGTTGGTTGTTACTTCTCCTCTCTCATTTGTGATTTTATTTATTTAGGTCCTTTCTCTTTTCTTTTTGATAAGTCTTGCTAGAAGTTTATCAGTTTTGGGGCGCGTGGGTGGCTCAATCGTTAAGTGTCTGCCTTCAGTTCAGGTCATGATCCCAGGGTCCTGGGATCAAGCCCCGCATCGGGCTCCCTGCTCAGCGGGAAGCCTGCTTCTCCCTCTCCCACTCCCCCTGCTTGTGTTCCCTCTCTCGCTGTGTCTCTCTCTGTCAAATAAATAAAAATCTTTAAAAAAAAAAAGTTTATCAGTTTTATTAATGTTTTCAAAAGAACCAACTCCTGGTTTCATTGATCTGTTCTGTTGCTTTTTTTAGTTTCTATATCATTTATTTCTGCTCTAATCTTTATTGTTTCCTTCCTTCTGCTGGCTTTAGGCTTCATTTGTTGTTCTTTTTCTAGCTTCTTTTAGTGTAAGTTTAGGTTGCTTATTTGAGATTTTTCTTGCTTCTTGAGGTAGGCCCGTATTTCCCTCTTAGAACCACTTGGCTGCATCCCAGAGGTTTTGGACCATTGTGTTTTCTTCTTCATTTGTTTCCCTGTACTTTTTTTTATTTCTTTTTTTTATTTCCTATTTGACCCATTCATTGTTCAGTAGCATGTTATTTAACCCCCATGTATTTGTGACCTTTCCAGATTTTTTTCTTGTGGCTGACTTCCAGTTTAATAGCATTGTGGTCGGAAAAGGTGCATAGTATGACTTCATTCTTTTTATATTTGTTGAGGCCTGTTTTGTAACCTAATATATGACCAGTTCTGGAGAATGTTCTGTGTGCACTTGAAAAGAATGTGTATTCTGCTGTTTTAGGATGGAATGTTCTGAATATATCTGTTAAGTCCATCTGATCCAGTGTGTCATTCAAAGCTATTGTTTCCTTGTTGATTTTCTGTTTAGATCTGTCCGTTGATGTGAGTGGGTTAACTACTATTTTTGTGTTATTATCAATTACTCCTTTTGTGTTTGTTATTAATTGTTTTATATATTTGGGCACTCCCATGTTGGGTGCATAAATATTTACAATTATTTTATCTTCTTGTTGGATTGTCCTCTTTATTATTATATAGTGTCCTCCTTTGTCTCTTGTTACAATCTTTGTTTTAAAGTCTAGTCTGATATTGCTATTCCAACTTCCTCTTGATGTCCATTTGTGTGACAAATGTTTCTCCACCCCCTCACTTTCAATCTGCAGGTGTCTTTTGGTCTAAAATGAGTCTCTTATAAGCAGCATATAGATGGGTCTTGTTTTTTTATCCATTCTGACACCCCATGTCTTTTAATTGAGGTGTTTAGCCCATTTACATTCAAAATAATTATTGATAGATATGTATTTATTACCATTTTATTACTTGTTTTGTGGTTGTTCCTGGAGATTTTCTCTGATCCTTTCTTGTCTTTTTTTCACATTTTGCTAATTTTTTTTAGTGATACATTTGGATTTCTTTCTTTTTATTCCTTGCATGTTTTTTAGTGGTTTTTGATCTAGCATTACCATTAAGTTTGTGTTTAGCCTCTTCTGCATATAGCAGTCTGTATGAAGTTGCTGTTAGTTTGTTTGAACTCATTCTTTTATCCTCTCCTCCCCATTGTTTATATATGTTATTATATTTTATATCCTCTGTGTGTGTGTGTGTGTGTGTGTGTGTGTGTGTGAGAGAGAGAGAGAGAGAGAGAGAGTTCCTTGACTCATTTTCGACTTCTGGGGTATTTAAGATAATCGGATAGTTACCTAGTTGTATTCACAGGACAAGGTAAGCCTAGGGTGCTCCTACTCCTCTGCCATCTTCCTGTTTCTTGACCTGTTTTTTTCTTGAGGAAGTTAATTCTGACTTCCTATCTCACATGTACTCCATCAGACCAGGTCATGTTTCCCTGTTAAATGTTTTGATAACACCCTATACTTTTCCTTCCCAGCCTATTTATAAAATATGTTTGTTTGATGTTGTTTGAGGAAAAATAATAACCATCTTTTATGTCAGTTGGTTCAAGGATATACTTCACTTTGCTGCTGCTTTATTCTGCATGAAATACTTTGAATAGTAGTTTTGAATGATATGACTGATTAGCCAGAGTTAATTTTTACTAATAGACCAAAGGCTTTTAATTCTCCCTTTATTTTCCTTTCTTAAGCTAATTACTGCAGTGGTGATGAAGAACTGGAAAGAAATTGTTGAGTCTTGTGACCTTAAAAATTGGAGAGAGGCTTTAGCTGCAGTATTGACTTATGCTAAACCAGATGAATTTTCAGCCCTTTGTGGTAAGAAAATGAGCCTTATAGTTATATTTATATTACGTATATGGCATAGCATATTTTAAATAAAATTACTGAGAGGTACTATTAGAAATTTTTGCAAACCAACTAATCACTCCATAAGAAAAAGAAGTTCTCATTTGAATGCTTTTCTCAGAATTATTAACTACATTATTTCTGCATACCTAGTCATTATTTTTAATGATTTTGGTTTCAGGCAGACCAGAGTTGGAATCTTGCCTCTGCCACTTATTAGCTGTCTGACCTAGGAAAGATTACTTTCTAAGCCTTAGTTTATTATTTGTAAAATTGCAGCTTTCACTTAATAAATATTAGCTTGATAGGGGCACCTGGGTGGCTCAGTCATTTAAGTGCTTGCCTTCTGCTTGGGTCATGATCCTGGGGTCCTGGGGTCGAGCCCCACGTTGGGCTCCCTGCTCAGTGGGGAGTCTGCTTCTCCCTTTACCTCTGCTGCTCTCCCTGCTTGTGCTCTCTCTCTCTGTCAAATAAATAAAATATTAGCTTAATAAAATTAGTAATTATAGCATTTGAATGGAAATTAAAAATTACCATTAAAGGCCATGACTAGACTGGTGGCTAAGGAATGATACTCCTTATTTGTAAGAACAGAAGCTTTAGGCTGCTGGTATAAGAACAACCAACCATTTGCTACCTTGAAAGCATTATGAGAATATGAAAGTTATAAGGTATTAACTTTATTATTGTAAGTAATTTATAGTAGTCCTGCCTACCATTGATGTTCATTCCAAATGTGCCATATTGTAGTCTACTACTTACACAAACATCAGATACGATGAAATGGAGTTAAATGTTCATTAGGGGGCGCCTGGGTGGCTCAGTTGGTTAAGCGACTGCCTTCGGCTCAGGTCATGATCCCAGGGTGGTGGGATCGGGCTCCCTGCTTGGCAGGAAGCCTGCTTCTCCCTCTCCCAGTCCCCCTGCTTGTGTTCCCTCTCTCGCCGTCTCTCTCTCTCTCTGTCAATTAAATAAATAAATAAAATCTTTAAAAAAAAAAAAAGAACAAAGATACCATTTAAAAAAAAATGTTCATTAGGATTTTTCTGTTCAAATATTGTTCCCATTTTTTAATATGATTAATGGAAGTTCATTCTATAGCAGGTATATAGAATCTTGTCAAGCCGTTTATTATGTACAGTTAGTTACACACTTCCATTCTTTTAACAAATAAATATTTACTGAGCTTTTACATAACAGTGATTTTGTTTTTATCTACTGCTCATTGCTTGTGAAATTTAATTCATACTTCTGAAAATATTATTGGCCTACTTACAATTTCATATATAGATTGCTTTGAGTATAATCTTATTTTGTTTTCCTCTTGATCTTTAGATCTTTTGGGAACCAGGCTTGAAAGTGAAGGTGATAGCCTCCTGCAGACTCAAGCATGTCTGTGCTATATCTGTGCAGGGAATGTAGAGAAACTAGTTGCATGTTGGACTAAAGCTCAGGATGGAAGCAGTCCTTTGTCCCTTCAGGTTAGTATCTTTGAAACTTTGTGTTGTCTTTCACCCTATTTATATTCTAGAAATTGATTCGTTCCAGAAATTCATTGCTTTCACCTTCGTTATCTATGTTTTAGAAGTTCTTTTGCTGGATAATTTATGTGTCTTTGTAGCTATATTTGGAGGGACAAAGTATGAAATGATGGAATAGGTAAAATGGGGTTGCAACTGTTTATGAAATCAAGGTTATAATTTGGTAGTTTATTGGGGGAAACAGATGGCAGTAGCATGAAAACAGCCCTAGAGTTAATTCTTTTTCCTCATGCTTCTCTCTCGCTGCCTCTGGTGACTCTCTCTGTCTTGGGCAAGGAAAGAAGCAATGTGGGCAAGGGATGGGAGGCATCCCCAGTACCAATAGAGAATAGATTAAGATATTCATGGTTAAGGGAAAATGAAAGTAAGAGGTAAATGGAATCCCGTATAGCACTACAACCTGGGCAAGAGGGGTAAAAATATGGGGACTCTTCTCAGTCACTGAGCAACTATATATTTAGATCTTTTTTTCCAAGCATTTAATCAGCAGAGTCTCATAATATTTCATTCAAGTATATTTTTTTTTCTCTCTGGAAAGAGATTTTCTCAATAGAGTTGTTACTTTAAAGATCCCCCTATTGAAACTAAAAATCTGGTGGGAAATCAAGGCTTTCCTTCTAAGTGCTTCTGAGAAAAAGCACACTTGCTTGATACTTCTGGATCTATGTACCTTTGAAGGACAGATAGGTAGGATATTCTTGTGCTTTATACTTGAAGCTCCCCATTATTGAAATAATTGGTATCAAAGAGCAACATGAGAAACTTTGGGTTGAAATAGTAAGCTCATTGGAGGTCACCTCATAGTAGTACTGTTTTTATAGTGTAGCTATATGTATGGTATTTTTAGTCATAGTTCATTTTATACCTGCTGGAACCCAGCTTCTGCCTTTGGCTATCTGTCTATCACTTTCACTTTGGATATTTGCCTACTTTAACTCACAAGATAAGTATCTGGCAGTTTAAGGATATTTAGAACGTAGTAACCTACGACTTATCCATGAATAAGAGACCTTCTTCCTCCTTACTGTTTTTCAGTTTACTTAATTGTGGTCAGCTGTTGCAAATGTTTTTTAGAAAGAGAATAATAAGATGTACTTTTAGTAGGTTTTAGAAACCTTCATAACTCTTTATCTTTTCCTGCTTTCTTTCATATACATCTTGGTATCTTTGGTTCTCCATCTCTCTCCCTTCTTTTTCTTATTTAGGATCTTATTGAGAAAGTTGTCATCCTGCGAAAAGCTGTACAACTCACCCAAGCCATGGACACCAATACTGTAGGAGTTCTTTTGGCTGAGAAGATGAGTCAGTATGCCAATTTGTTGGCAGCCCAAGGCAGTATTGCTGCAGCCTTGGCTTTTCTTCCTGAAAACACCAACCAGGTAATTAGAATTGACCATTTTTCTTCTTTTAATATGTGAATAAAGGTGAGTCCAGTAGGTAGCACTCAGTATTAAACATATTGGTAGGTAGAATGTTTTAGAGCAGTTGAATTTCTATCATCTGAGTATAGGTGAATATTACTGACAATTATTCAAGGATCATTTTAGGTGTAGCCAGACTGTATCAGAGAGATAGGATACTCTGGTTGTGTGATAGATCCCTTTCTACTGAGGGGCATAGTATTTGAGGAAAATAAATGGGGAAAGGACCAACTTTTTGTTTCTTAAGCCAAATGCTGATTCTTCGTACAAGGTTCTTTGTAGGAATCTTCTGTGTTGAAAAGCTATAAATATTTAATACTTAACCAAACAAATGGGGTTATGGTTTTAAAATGCCACCCCAGACATAGATACTAGTGAAGAAGTTCATTTTATATAGCATTCCAGTCTGATATTTTCTGGGGACGTGTGTGTGTGTTTGGGGTGGGGGTGTGGGGAGAGGTAGAGAATCCTAAGCAGGCTCCATGCTCCATGCCCAGAGATAATGACTTGAGCTGAAATCAAGAGTTGAATGCTTAACCACCTGAGCCACCCAGGCGCCCCAGGGCAAGTATATTTTTAAAGTACTGAAAGCAAAGAGAATTATATTTCTAATTTAGTGTCCTTATTTGGTGTCCATTAAAATGGGCTTTTTCAATGCAGTGGAATTCAGTAAGTGACTGACTATATAGTGATGGACACAATTGCCAGGATTCTTTTCCTGAGGGAGTTTCCAAACTCAAACTGAATATAGACAAGTAAACATACAATTCCAAAAGTGATACATACTGTGAGAGAGGTAGTAGGGCTGTGGAAGCACAGAAGAGGGCAACCTAAATTTAATAATAGAGCATGGGTGGAAATTAGGGTGGGATTTGAGGACAGTTTTCCATGTTTATATCTATATTGTGTGTCTGACAGAGCTTAATTTTGAGCCTTGAAGATATTTTCTTATTTCTATACTTTTTATTATTAACTTTATTTTGTTTTAATGGATTTTTTTAGTTAAATGTTTTCAGTATTTTCTCTGTTCTAGGGAATTATCAATAAATTTCCTTGAGTAATTTCATTGAGTAAAAATACTTATATCTGTGTTCCAGGATTATGGAGGTATGACTAGTTGGTTTTGAACATACTTATATGTTATATCTTTATGAGAATATTAGGTAGAATAGAAACATAGGCTTTCTGATGACTTTGGCAAAATAGCTTTATGCCTTTTTACTTAATAAGATCCCATTATTAAGTTATAAGACCCTTTATTTTAAGAATAACTTAATCTAAAACCTTTAGATCTTCTAGCCTTAGTATTAAACTTTTTATTTTCAATACCATTTATAACAACATACATTTTCTATACATCATTCTTCATGTTTTCTTTGGACTTTTAAAGAACGTTCTTTATGTAATAATAAACAATTTTGAAGTTGCTGTCTTCTATGTATCTCAGTAGACCCTTAGTATTTTCTGGGGAATATGTTCTGAGACTTTGTGATATCATTATAGTATCTAATTTTCCTCCCTAATAGGCAGTAAAGTATACCTTAAAGTTTAAATGACAGCTTTAAACCTTTAATGAATTTATAGAAATGTATGATTTTTAAAGATATTAAAATCAGTTCTTGCTGAAATATTTTAACATTAATTTTTTGTTGTTGTTTGTTAATACCTAGAACGTGTATGTGGTCAACTCACACTTATTGTAGATCTGTATAATTATAAATCTGCATAAGCTACTGTGAGTGTGACATCTTACTCTTTTAACTTATTTCCAACATCTTTTTTTTTTTTTTATTAATTTTCCTCTCTTTCTCAGATCACCATTTTCTTCCATCACCATCTTTAGCAGTTGATTCTTTTGGGGGGCCTTATTTCCCTATAAAGAAAAAGTTGTATTTTTTTTAACACTTTTATGATTTGTGAGCATTACTCGACTACAAGAAAATATAAAAGAGCAGAGATGATAAGTGACACTCACCTTACATATTACTATATAGTGGATGTAATTTCAATCCCTGTCTCAGTTAAATTCCAAGTCACACTATGTATCTTGGACCTTTGGTATCAGTCTTGAGTATCAGAATCCATGATGTGAAACCCTCAGGTGCCAGGGTCTATTATATAGAAAACAGCATATAAACAAGGAGCATGTGACCGATCAAGCTTACTTGAAGAAAAGCTACATGCTATCATATAGTTGGGTGAACGCTAACAGTTTGCTTTGTTTTCTTCCATTACTTATTTTAGCCAAATATTGTGCAGCTTCGTGACAGACTTTGTAGAGCACAAGGACAGCCTGTACCAGGTCGGGAATCACCTAAAATTCCTTATGAGAGGCAGCAGCTTCCCAAGGGCAGGCCTGGACCAATGGCTGGCCACTCACAGATGCCAAGAGTTCCAGCTCAACAATATTATCCGCATGTGAGTGATACGGTCTGGATTAAGTAGAACATTTATATATTTCTATTCAAATTGGTGGTTTTAGTTTATTGGGTAGGAAACCTTAATCTGCTATGATAAACTAGACAACATATTCTTTTAGTAGTCTTTCTTTTTATATTCTTGGAAGTGGTATTTATGGTCTGTTGTTTTTTTTTTTTTAAATGATCACTTTAATCTAGGCAAACAGATTATATTTTAAATATAAATTAATTTAAGCTCTCTGGGGAGATTTCTTATTTCTCATCACTCATACTTCCCTTACACACGTACATGTGTTCTTGAAACTGCTACAGTTTGATTCATCCAACAAACTGTAAGTAAAGTAGTGGGAACAATTTTTGGGGTGATTTGGTTAATATTATAAAATATTCTTAGAAAAAGTACTCTTTTTTTTTGAGTATTCTCATCTGAATCATTATTATAAGTTTACTGTCTTCTGTATCAGCACAATAAAGAGTATACAGAATAAACTTTTTTTTTCTAAAGATTTTATTTATTTATTGGAGAAAGGGAGAGAGAGAGAAGGAGTGAGCACCAGCAGGGGGAGGGAAAGGGAGAAGCAGACTCCCTGCTAAGCAGGGAGCCCGATGCGGAGCTCGATCCCAGGACCCCAGGATTATGACCTGAGCCAAAGGCAGACACTTAACCAACTGAGCCACCCAGGCGCTCCTAGAATGCACTTTTTTTTGGACAACTTGGATATTAGAGAATGATCAAAGGTGTATGAAGTTATAGGTCATGGGGACTATGAAGATGATTAAATATTTTTTAATTAATTTATTGGTTAGTGGCATAAAATGTGGCATCTTACTGTCTTTTACTATTTTATGTAAAAACTATATTTTTGGACCCGCAGATAGCCTTCATGTTTTTAAATGGAAAGTACATTTTCATAAGTAAAAAATGGTCTTTACTGATAACAAAGTTAGCAGGGACTCTGCCCTTTTTAAAATACAACAGATTATTTTAAAAATGAGTTAATTAAATTAAATACAACAGACTACTGATAGAATTGACAAGGCCTTTTTTTATAAGTTTTTTTTTTTTAAGATTTTATTTATTTATTTGCCAGAGAGAGAGAGAGAGAGCAAGAGAGCTTGCGAATACAAGCAGGGGGAGCGGGAGGCAGAGGGAGAAGCAGGCTTCCCGCTGAGCAGGGAGCCCGATGTGGGACTCGATCCTAGGACCCTGGGATCATGACCTGAGCTGAAGGCAGACGCTTAACCAACTGAGCCACCCAGGCGTCCCAACAAGGCCTTTTTTATATTTCATTGCAGCAAAAGTAAATATAAAGTCATGGAAAACTAAAAAAAAAAAATCAATTTGTGTGCTTTTGTCTATTGTACTTTTGATTAATACTTAATCAGAATAGATTACATTTGATTCTAACTTTTGTTTTTTCCTTTATTTGACAATTATTTTTTTGAGAGCTTTACTATGAGTGTCTATCTTTATTCTACCTGTTGGTATATTGGTAAACAAAACAGATTAAGTTTCCCACTCTTGTGGAGATTGCACTAGTTTTAGAAAGCCTATGACATAGGGCAAAGCAGGCAATGGCTAGAAAAACTGAGAGGCAGAGAGGTCAAGTGACAAGCCAGTTTTAAGACTTAGAGCTTGAATTTCTTAGCATTGTGTGGCTAGTTAATGGCCAACTTGGTGTTAGAACTTTCAAGCACCTTTAGTTCAATCACACTGTCTCGGTACTGAAGTGAGACACCCTCTATATTGGGAAAAGAAAATATTTACTCTTTATGTCCTTGGGTTTATCTGTCTTTCTGGGAAGATGTAAAAACACTGGAAAACTTTTGTTATACTTTGACCTAGCAGTCTCATCCTTTAAGAAAAGGAAAACAAATTCAGTAGTAAATTAAGTAGTGATTTTCTTGATTAAAGCTTATCTCATGCTGAATGAAGGGTTTCTATGAAGGTTTACTTGACAAAAAAGATTTTGATGGCTTAAAAATTTTTTTTGAAAATCTCAGGACTCTAGGGTAGGCAGTGTGGTGTAGTATATAGCAAATACTGGCCTGGGAATCAGGAGGCCTGATTCAGTCCTAGTAAGTAATGTCACCAGCTAGTTGTATGGACCTCAGCAAGCCCCTTCATTTCTCTGGGCATTGGTTTTCTCAATGGTAAAAGGTGGGGATTAGACTGGATGGTCTCTAATATTCTCTGTATGTTTCTAAGCCTCATATGGGACTAATAAGATTTTTGTGGTTCTAATAAAATCCAGAAAAGGGAGCTTATAGCAATACATTTACAGATCTAATAGTAGCATGAATACTATTAATGCTTCAAAATCACTTTTTTACTCAATTACCTGCCCCCCAGCGTCTTCTTTCTTTACCTACTTACAGGAACTAGCTTTTTCCCCTTATTCTTGACACTTGAATGGCATTGTTTTTTATGCTTTGATTTAGGTTTTCATATTGATTTTTCTCCTGCCTCCCTCCCCCTGTTTCATTGTGAATGTGTGCTTTTCCTTTGGAATCCCAGCTACCTTGAAAGCAATTGCCTGACTAACATATAGTATCTTGCTGTTCTTACTTTTTGCTTTGCATCCGGCTATTACTGCCTTTTGGGGTTTTTTTTTCTTCTTTTAACATTTTTATTTTTTATTTTCTGTGATTGGTATTTCTTTGTTCAATTCAGGTTAGAATTGCCCCTACTGTCACTACCTGGAGTAACAAAACTCCTACCGCCCTTCCCAGCCATCCACCTGCAGCCTCTCCCTCTGACACACAGGTATATCCTTCATTATTCATCTTTGAGCAGAATTCCGCTCACCTAAATATATATAGTTAAATATTCTCTACCCGCCCCCCGCCACTTTTCTTAAGTTATCCTCCCCCCATCTGTCTGCCTGCTTATTGCATTTTAATGCTTTAGGATGCAAGAAGCAGTTTTTAGGACAATTCGTTTATTTTCTTATCCCTCTCCTTCTTTTGCAGTTCTAAATTGACCTCAGCTAGAAGAATATCAACTAAAGTTCTAGTGGTTTAAATCTGATTTCACTGAAGATTTTCTTTTTTCTTTCTTTGTTTTTTGAGCATTGCAGAAATTGAAGAGAAGCGAAAGTTCCCTTGTGGCATTTATGCTTATATTTCCAAAGTGTGGAGTAGTGGATGGAATTTAGTAGAGATGGAAAATCCTGGTGACTTAGTATGAATATCACTGACACTATTTTATGAAGTTATTAGCATCTGTTGCAATTCATTGCATTTATTACTTTGGACCTGTTTAATCTTTAAATCACTTAGAATGTGTTGCTCAGAGAATGTGTTCTAACGAAGATAGAATGTGCAAAATGCAGTGTTTCTTACACAATAAATTTTTTTTCTTTTTTTTTAGAAAAATAAACACAGTTCCATTTCAGAGATTATAAATCCATCTGGGTAAGATTCTTGGTTCCAAATGTAATCCTCCTTTTTATCATATTCTCATTCCCTAGGGAGAAAATCCTCCACCTCCAGGTTTCATAATGCATGGAAATGTTAACCCAAATGCTGCCACAGCTCAGCTTCCCACCTCTCCGGGTCATACGCACACCCAGGTACCACCTTATCCACAGCCACAGCGTAAGTAGTGCAACCCTGAAGTCCTTAGTGCAGCCACTTGTCTTATTCTAATGGTGAAACCATTCGCTTTGGAGCTCCAAACCCATGATCAAATCAGTTTTAACAAGTAAAAAAAGAACCATTCTGTGTAGGACTTGAGAGAGAGAGAGACATGGTTTCCCTAGGAAGCATCCTGAATCAGCATACGAGGAAACAGCTCCTGTGCCAGTCCATTCAGAACAGTTGGCTCCTGTTCCTGAGTGATTACTAAGGACAGTGAATTGTCTGATGATTTGGGTAGGAACAAAAAACAGAATTTTTGAAAGGATTTGGTTGCATATTCTTTCCTTTAAGCAAAATGACACAAACCATTTTTGGAAAAATGGTTCCCAGGGACATTTGTTTTTGTTGTTTTCCATTTATATCATCTTTTTAAGAAACAGACTTTATTTTAGAGCAGTTTTAGATAGCACATTTGAGTGGAAAGTATAGAAGGTTCCAGTATCCTCCCTGCCCCCATGCACAACCTCCTCTGCTATCAACAACTTGCACCCCAGTGGTCCACTTGTTACGGTTAGTGAACCTACACTGACACATCATTATCACCCAAAGTCCATAGTTAACTTAGGGTACACTGTTGGTGTTGAACATTCTATGAATTTTGACAGATATATAATAATGACATGTACCCCACCTTTGGCTTTTGTTTTTTAGAAAACATTTGCACTTAGAAAGAAAATATCACCACTATTTTAAAATTTAATTGACCACAAAAATAAAATTCTCCAAGGGGAAAATTATATGACTAAACAACTATTAGAAAAGCAAGAGGCCACTGCCTAGTAAGAACTAATCCTAATAAGTCTGTTCTGTACTAAAATGGATGTTCTTACTTAACATGAATACAGATTTGACACAATTTTTCACTCGTGTTCTCTTCCAAGCAAAATAAGTACAGTTCTATTAGATTCATTCTATAGAAGTCCATACCTACCCCTAGTCATGAAGAATGTGATAGCATTCTCTAATTTGGGTTCAGATCTTTGCATCAGAATGTTAGTTGGCTGCCTGAAGGCTTACTAACCAACTGTGCACAGTATATAAAATATTGTATAGTAATTATTTTGTCAGGGACCATAGAGAGTTGGCTTTTAATCTGGAACTATGCTCAAAATCACAGTTTGAGTAGCTGATGATATTACCAGAATTTGGAGAAGGTATTTGATTCAAAACAATAGTGTTCACCCTACAATTCTTACAGTGGGAGAGATGTTGAGCCACCACCAGAGTCCCTATAATTTACTGTAAGGGGAAGTGCTTTGAACATGTAATTCCTGCGTGGTTCCATCTGGGGGCTAGTAGGTGTCGCTGCAGTCTTTTCCCAGGGGCAGGAAAGGGTCAGTCTTGTAGTTCTTGGGTCTGATGATTCAAAGATTTTTTTAAGATTTTATTTATTTATTTGAGAGTGAGAGCAAGAGGACAAGTTGGGAGGGAGGGGCAGCGTAAGTGGGAGAAGCAGACTCCCCGCTGAGCAGGGTGCCCGATACAGAGCTCCATCCTAGGACCCTGAGATCATGACCTAAGCCAAAGGCAGATGCTCAACCGACTGAGCCACCCAGGCGTTCCTCAAAGATTTTCATAGCCAACGGCAGTCTGGAGATGGCAGATTTCAAATATTGGATCCAGTGACTCTTAGTATTATTTAAGGGTATCCAAGGTATCAAAAGCATAACATGGAAGTGTTAATATTTGGTTGTAGCTTATTGTTATAAGAATAATGATGAAAATAATTTCCATAGTATGAAATAACTTTGGGGTTTTTTTATTGCTGTCTGAATAAACTTATAACTAATTAAAATTTCTGTTTCTTCTCCTTGGTGTAGCTTATCAACCAGCCCAGCAGTATTCCTTCGGAACAGGGGGGTCAACAATGTATCGACCTCAGCAGCCTGTTGCTCCTTCTGCCTCAAACGCTTACCCTAACACCCCTTACATATCTCCTGCTTCTTCCTATTCTGGGCAGTCTCAGCTGTATGCAACACAGCACCAGGCCTCTCCACCTACCTCCAGCTCTGCTGCTTCTTTCCCTCCTCCCCCTTCCTCTGGAGCATCCTTCCAGCACGGCGGACCAGGAGCTCCACCATCGTCTTTAGCTTATGCGCTGCCTCCTGGAACAACAGGTACACTGCCTGCTGCCAGTGAGCTGCCTGCGTCGCAAAGAACAGGTCTGCGCTTGAAAGGGGTTTGGTTTGGCTCCCTCCTTTATTGTTTCATGAACACCTGGGTGGGTGGAGGGCAGTCATGTCTGACTCTTGGTAAACAGAGTAATCTGAGGTGTTGATGGAGTTTTTATAACAAATTCTAAAACTATTTCTGAAAGTGTGATTGTCCCATAATGAACTTTAGTCACTAAATGAGGAGAGCTTCAGAACTTCAAAAGACTAAGAGTGTATCATCAGCCTCTGAACTTAAAATAAGTGGTAAGAACTTAATTGGCAAGATAAGTGGTGGATGAAACTAGATTTAATTGACGTTTCTTTAGAGCAAAACTTTGTTCTGTTCTTACTGAGAAGTTTGCAATTTTTAAAATTATTTGTGCCTGTGACTCATTCGTGGAGATTAAACAGTATAGTGTCTTAATGAGATTCTACATAATTTTCTGTTTATTTATAAAAATGAGGGATCTCGATATGCTTATCTAAAGGAAAAAAGTGAGAGAACACAACTCTGACAGAGTGGATCTCTAAGACAGTAGAAAGTCAGTGGACAATAGTGTAGTGATTCTTCATTAGGGCAATACCACCCTCGGACATTTTGGGAATTTCAAGGATTAGATAGGTAGATAGTCTAATAGTGTAGTCGTGCCTAAAATTTTCTAATTAAAATCATAATTTTAATTATTTTTATGGGGAAATACATGTTTTGTAAATTCTGGTTTATCTCATATTACAATTAGAACATTACATTAATTTTTTATGGGTAGGTTATATTACCTGATTTTTATTTGGGATAGTAATAGAGGCTCAAAATCATGTTATAAAAAGGGACTGATGAATCAGGGTTAAAAACCACTAGCCATATTGGTTAAGAATGCAGGCTTTGAAATTTGACTTCCTGGGTTTGTATCCCAGCTTCACTACTATCTAGTTATGTAACTTGGAAAAGTTACTTAAACTTCTTCAAGCCTATTTCCTCAGAATAATAATAGTACCTACTTATAAGCTTATGAAGAAGATTGAATGCATTAATATATTAAAACATTTGGGGATAGTGACTGTAAAATTTGCTTTGATTACACAAAAGCTGACTCAGAATTAGAGCTCTGTGCCTGTTGGTATTTGAAAATAGTTTCCCTTTTAGATTATAACTGGTTTTTGAGCTAGAGGGTCAAAGAGATGAATGAATCTTGCTTTGCTCCTCATACTGAAGTTGTTCCTGTGGAGTCCAGTATATATATTTTTTCTTTTAACCAGTAGCTGTAATTACTGAAAATACTTTTCATGAAATAGGAGCTATTGAGGAAGTATTTTTTTCTAACAAAGTTTTATAGATCCAGAATTACATACCTATCTCCTCTCTTCTCTAATACATAAAATAAAGTCCAAAATACCAGAAATCACACACACGCACACACACAATATCTGTATCACCCTTTACTGCACAAATAAAATTTCTGTAACTTTTAATATAAACCGTTAAATAGGTTGATATTTTAGAGAGGAGTGCTGAAATGCAGTTACAGAGTTCAAAAAATTATCTTCTAAAACCTCCGTGAGTGAAGACAGTGTCCATTCTGGTCCAAGAGTTCTTGATCGAAAGATTAGGGTTCCAGAAAATCCCTGTTTAAAAGTGGTGCAGGGAAATAGGGAGGTGAATTATCATTTATTGAACATACATTGGACATATACCCTCATTTGCCATATATTTTCTTATTTAATTCTCAGAGCCATAAGAAACAGAAATATATATATTTTTTTAATTGGCATGAGGAAACTTGGTTTCCTAGGAATTAAACTCATGGTTGCATGGTGAGAATTTGTAAGTTGAGATACAAACCCAGGTCCCTCAGTCTTCAGAGCCTGAGTTCATTCTTTACCAAATTGTCTACACCTGATGTAAGTGATAGACGTAGTTAGTTATCAATGTTGGAATTACAAAAATCATACAACAACACTGTTTTAGGCATTTGTTACTTCATCTAAGTTAAATATTTGCATGGTTATTTTTCTTCTCCTTAAGCAAAAGTGTATTTGGCCTTGAGATAGTCTTTGCTTATATACAAAGTAACAGAATGTTCTAACCTGGCTGAGAAACAGTGACTAATAGGAAGAAGAAGCAAACACTTTTCAGTATTCAGCATGTACTGAGCCAGCTGCTTTGTTACCCTCTTGCATGTTAATAGCCCCCTGTATTTTAATTAATGGTATTAGCTTTACCATATTTTATTTTTTTATTTTCTAAAAATTTTATTTATGGTATACAAATAATTGTGACTGAAAATTTTATCTTTTTCCTTATGTGTCTTAGATCATATCATGGTTCTCTATAGGACTTGGAAATTGCATTTGTCTAGTGGATAATTCTTGACAGACATTAGGATTTGCAAGGCCTGTTAATTATTAGTGAACCACAAAATTATATGCCTGAGGCTCAGAGAAACTAATGTTGCAATCATCAGAACATTCATTCAGTAAATTCTTAATGAGTACTTGTTTGGTCTATCATCAGAATTAGTCCCAGCAGAGGTAGGAAGGCAGAAAAGGACAGTACGTTTCTAGTGAACAGCACATAGCTTTGTTGTAAGTTGGAACATAAAATTTATATTTGAGCCAAGTTTTGGAAAGCCTTAAATGCCAGGGCAAGAAGTTTATAATTCATACAGTAAGAAGAAAGGTGCTTACAAAGGGGTTTGAACTGCTGAAAGGCGTGGTCAAAGTGGTACTTGAGGGAGGTTAATGTGGAAGTGGTGGTCCTACAAAACAGACTGTGGACAGCATGGCAGAGTCAGAAAACAGTCCTCTCTCAGTTCTAGATATAAAGTAACAACAGCCTGAGTTAGGATAGGACAGTGTCCTTTCAGTGGTGGCAACACACAAAGCAGGAAGTTTTCTCTGTTTTACTCTTTAGGATAATTAGGATACTGCCTGTCACTCTTTTCTCCCTCCTGATTTAATGTATGTTATTACTAAGGAAGGGCACTTTCAAATATGAAGGCCTTAGAATTTTACTCAAAAAATTGTTTTCTGATAAAGTGACCTTCAAGCTGTCATGAAACTGTCTTTGAGTGAACGTTACTGATTTTGTTAAACAATGGAAGATTTAATTTAGGTATATAGTCTTGTGCTTTGTCACATAAAATAGTCTTGAAGGGGCATAATGTTATGTATTTTCACAAAACTGTCCTGAAAAAGATTTTTTTAAATTTTCATAAATATTCCTTACTCAAATTTATTATAAGTATCTGGTTTAACCTTTTAAGTAAATAAAAGAAAACAAGATAACCCCCCTTATTACTTTTCTTTGGATAATTGTTTTATCTTGTGTCATTGGAAAATGACCTCAAGGATTCATGTCTTTCTAAACTTTAATTTTTAATTCCGTGACCCTTTTGTTTTTTAAAGATTTTATTTCTTAGAGAGAGAGAGAGCATGTGAGCAGGGAAGGGAAGAAGGGGAAGGAAAAAGAATCTGAAGCAGACTCCGCACTGAGCATGGAGCCTGTTGTGGGGCTCGATCCCACGACCACCATGAGATCATGACCTGAGCCAGAACCAAGAGTCTGACACTTAACTCACTGGCTGTGCACCCAGGCACCCCAACCCTTTTATTTTTAATGTGACATACTAGGCTTATAGGGGAAAGGGGAGGTACGTGGTTGAGAAGGATGCTGTCTCAGATTGTCTTCTAGTCTAGTCTCCATACCACTAGTATTTTTCCATGAATCCACTGAGAAGTATCTTAGCCAAAGTATAGATCCCACATTATGCTTTTGAAAGAATACCTATGAAGGTTCTCATTGAGAAGTGGGTTTCAAGTAAAGATGGTTTGCAACTCCTATATGTGAGACCAGGTAGTTCCCTCTTCCTTCCCCAAAGACATTGTGGAGAACTGATCCCTACACTAAGGTGGATAAGGGCCTCCAATTCCATGCCATATTCAGTTTTTAAATTATTTTTTCCTTGATTTTTATTAATTTTTCACTGTAGGATTTTTAAAGACTCCAAATAGTATAAAGAATAAAATTTAAATTTTCTGTAATTCTACCACTCAAATATAAGCACTAATACAGGCTTAATTTATTCCCTTCATACACATATATACTTACCTATATGTATGTGTGTATGCATATATTAAAAATATTTTTAGGGGCACCTGGGTGGCTTAGTCATTAAGCATCTGCCTTCGGCCCAGGTCATGATCCCAAGGTCCTGGGATCAAGCCCCACATCGGGCTCCCTGCCCAGTGGGAGGCCTGCTTCTCCCTCTCCCACTCCCCCTGCTTGCATTCCCTCTCTCGCTGTGTCTCTCTTTGTCAAATAAATAAATAAAATCTTTAAAATATATATATATTTTTTAATGTGGTAAAATATACTGACATAAAATTTACCATTTTAACCATTTTTAAGTATATATAGTTCAGTGACATTAAGTACATTCACATTGCTGGAAAACCATCACACTGTCTCCAGAACTTTTTTGTCATCCCACACTGAAACGATGTAACCATTAAATAACTCCCTATTTCCCCCATCCCCTGGTAACCACTGTTCTACTCTCTGTCTCTGTGAATTTGGCCACTCTAGGTATCTCATATAAGTAGAATCACAATATTTGTTCTTTTGTGACTGGCTTATTTCACTCTCTCCAAGATTCATCCATGTTGTAGCATGTATCAGAACTTTCCTCTTTAAAAAAGCTGAATAATATTTCACTGTATATATATATATATATATATACACCACATTTTGTTTATCCATTCATCTGCACATGGGCATTTTAGCTATTGTAAATAATGCTACTTGAACATGGATATACAAATATCTGTTACTTTGCTTTCAGTTCTTTTGGGTATATACCCAGAAATGGAATTACTGGATCAAATTCAATATTTAATTCAGTATTTAATTTTTTGAAGAACAATCATACTGTTTTCCACATCTACACCAACCCTTACTGTTTTCTATTTTTTTGATTCTAGCCATTCTAATGGGTAAGAACTAGTATCTCATTGTGTGCTTGTATTTTTCAAGAATTGAGATCATAATACACACACATACCATTTTACATCTTACAGTTGGTTGGGGTTTTTTTGAGAGAGAGGGAGAGTGTAAGAGAGCACAAGCCGGGGTGGGGAGGGGGAGAGAGAGAATCTTAAGCAGACTCCATGCCCAGCATGAGTTTCATCATGGGGCTCGACCTCACCACCATGAGATCATGACCTGAGCCAAAATCAAGAGTCACACGTTTAACCGAGTCACCCAGGCGCTCCTCTTACAGGTTTTCCTAACATTACACCATGAACCATTTTTTTCATGCCCTTTAGAGTCCATGTCATGTTCTAAAAAAAGTAAGATTTATCATCATTTTATAGTTTTTTTGGGAAAGAGTAAAAAAAATTATCTTTCTTTACAGTTTTATGAGAGAATTATGTCCAAGATTAGACTATGCTGTATTGATTTTTCTAAATGACTATGCGGTGTTGAAATTTTAAAATGCTGACCAAGAGTATCATTTTGCACATCTATAATACTGTTTCTTAGAGATATTCTTGTTGTTCATGTAGCTTGCTTTACCTAATGTGGCTATTAAAGTGTATTTACAGAGGTCAATTTAATTGTGTTTTTAAAACGTCATATTTAAACAGTCAATTTAAAGACATAAAAGCAAAAAGATTGAAAAGGGTTAGAGTTATACCTGAGACAAAACTGCACTAAATTGATGAGATTTGAACAAGGATTATCTGGGCTAAATATATTACATGGTTTGAGGTTGGGAGGAGTCAGACATATATTTTGAGGGAGAACTTTGATTATTGTACAACTGTTACTTTCTACCCAACAAGACATCTGTACCCTCGAGTTATGTGAGCTAGCTCATTGGCTATCCATTCCTGTTGTGAGTCTTTTTGTTTCTGATTTTGATGAAGTGTCATTCCTAGTTTTGAATTTGATTTGATTTCATTACAAATTTAGAGTCATTTTACCAAAGGGTCCTGTGAAGTTGCTCCAGAAACTTTTTTGTGCTAATAGTGTGCTGATTGTGAAATCTCAGGATACCCTCCCAGGCTTCAATTCCCAGGGCTTGAGTCACTGCCATGAGAAGTTAGAGGGGAGACTGCTCTCCTCCTCCTGCCTCTCCTGGGCCAGGAGAGTAGGCATGTTGTTGAAACTATGTTCTAGAAGAAAAGGGTCAAGGTCAAGGTATTTCTGGTACTTTAGGCTTGTAATATACGGGCTCCCTCCGCCCAGAAGTAGAAGTCTTATGCTAGAGAGTACATCAGTAGTTGTGCATCACGTCAGTCCTCTGTAATAACGCACACACAGTGACTCCCAAGGCTTTACTGACAGTAGTGCTATGAGGTTGTATCTTGCATGGGGAATTAGGTTGTAAAGTCGTCGTGTAAGGCAAGACAAAAATAGGAAATCACTTATAAAAAATAGGAAATCCTCGATCACTTCTTTCTTTAGTTAAGCCCTTGATGAAGAAGTTGGCTTGTTCTATAAGTTACATGTGCATATAATGTACCTCCACTGCATACTTTTGATTTGAGGCTGGGCCTGGCCTGACCCTGAATATCTGATCATTTTGGCATTGCTGTGTTAGTTTTCAGCCTTTTTTCCTCTTGTCCACTGCCAGAAACTTCCATTCTCTTAAGTAGTGGTTTCTGGAAAGCTTGTGCTAAACAGTCTGCAAATCCATATATTTTTACAGAAAAGACCATATAAGATGGTTACATATTTACTGGGCCTATTGTCATTTATGCTTATATTCATGGTGTGACATGAATTACATGAAATTACAGTTTCATCAGGATGCAGCCTCCCAAATCTGGCAGTAAAGTGGCACCACCTTGCTAAGATTGACATTCTTATCTTTAACAAGTACAGCGCTGATGTCTACAGGACAGTGTAGAAGGCCTCCCATTTTTCTTTAAATCCGTACTAAAAGAGGGCTTTGACCAGCAAGCAGCATTGGCATTACTTGGGAGCTAGCTGGAACAATAGAATCTCAGGCCCTTCCCTATACACAGTGAATTAGAATCTGCATTTTAACAAAATCCTCAGCTGATTTTGATTGACAGCTTTAACCAGTGCTAAATGCTCCCCCCACCAGTGATGTTATTGATCAAATAGTAGGAAAAAAAATCCATGCAAACAGGGAAATACTATTTTAAATAGGCAGGAACAAAATTTTTTTCTTAAAAGAAACAGCACAGTAAGAGAAAAAAGTGATGTTTGAGAGTTAATTGGAGGGGTGCCTGGGTGGCTCAGTCGTTAGGCATTTGCCTTCGGCTCAGGTCATGATTCCAGGTCCTGGAATCGAGCCCCGTATCGGGCTCCCTGCTCAGCGGGAAGCTTGCTTCTCCCTCTCCCACTCCCCCTGCTTGTATTCCCTCTCTCACTGTGTCTCTGTCTGTCAAATAAATAAATAAAATCTTTAAAAAAAAAAAGAGTTAATTGGATCTGACACAACCTAAATGAATTTGATTTACCCAAAAACTGATTTTCTTAATTAGATAGAAGACATTTCACATGACTTGATTAAAAAGAAGTTTTTTTTCCCCTTATAAAATTAGTTTTTTCCTTTTTGGGTTGATGGAGGGAGAAGCAATTACAAAATGAGAAATAGAGTTTAGAATGTTTTTGATGCTAATGCTGTTTAAGTGACTTTTACATTTTGTCTACAGAAAATCAATCTATGCAAGACCAGGCACCTATGTTGGAAGGTGAATTGGTTATAAAATATATCTTTGGAAATTTTTCAATCATTGAATATAGTTAATGAATGACCATTCACAATAATGCATGTGAACCTCAAAGTTGATGATATTCTAAATCTGATCAGTATCATTTTTTAATTTGACTTCTTAATCAAATCAAATCTTAGAACTGATTGAATTAACATGGTGACACAGTAGCTTTAAATCATTAAAGTCATCTATTTTACATAATCATAAAGACAATGACTATATCAAGATTGTCTTAGATAGGAGTAAGATTAGAACATGATGAGAGAGATTTGAATGATTCTCTACCTATGATCAGAACTTTGAGAATTTGTTAAACAGCAGCATGTAGCTTAATATTTTGTGATTAGCTCTTGAGTGTTTTGAGGCTCATTTGGCAGTCTGTTTCTTAGCAAACCTGTAGAAAATTAAAAAGGCAAATGAAGGATACCTGGCTGGCTCAGAAGGACACATGACTCTTGCTTTCAGGGTCATGAGTTTGAGCCACTTTACTAAAAAAAATAAGTAAACTTTAAAAAAGGCAAATGAATACATGCTGTTGGAAGATCTAGTTTTTTAAAAAATTTCTGTGGCGTTATGTATGGATCACAGGTTCTTTGGTCTGCTAAGCAATTTTGTTGTGATTTAATATGGATATCAATAAAACAAGTAAAAGGTAAAATTCTGAAAGAATGTCTAATTTGTTGAAAGAGGAGCAATATTTTTGCTTTAACTATAAACATACACAAAAATCAATGAAATTTAAAATGATTACATTTTGATTTTAAAATTATCCTATCTTTATTTCTGGCATGTTTTCTTTAAAGATACTGGCATTAAAGTACTTAATGAATTCTGCTACTGATGTCTGTTTTTCACTTTGAGATGAAGGGTTTTGGGGGATTTTTAGGGGAAATTTACTAAAGTTGACAGTAATTTAATTTTCTATTTGCTGCCAACCTGAAATTTTTTGTGTGTGGCATTAAAAAAATCTTATCACAGATACTTAAATGCTTTCTACTTTATAAATAATTCCTAAGGCAAAGATGATGAAATTGCAGTATTGTGTAGTTGAGACCTTTTTTTTAACAGTGTTTCTGCCATATGGATGATTTTGCTTATATTGAATTGCTCTCTTGGGAAATAGGAGATTGTCACTTTTATTCTTTTCTGTATGCTGAATATAGCAAAAGTAGGTTTTTTTTATTTTTTAGCAGACTCAGGTGATTTATTTTTTCTTTATTAAGAGAAAATTTCTAACTGATCTTTGAAGATTATACATCTATATAGACATGAAGACTTCACTATCCCTAAATTTAGTACAGCTCTTTCACTTTAAATGGAAATAATATCAAGTTATCTTGCCTGGTAAGCCAAGGCCTTGTGAATATTTGAGGGAATGAGTTTGAGGATCCAGGGCTTCAGAGTGATCCCCAAAGCTCAGCTGGTAAAACTTTTGTGAGTTGTCCTCGGGGTTAAGGCAGAATTTGAAGGTATTATAAGATAGATACAATTGAGTTTTCTTCTTTTCAGAATTCTAAAGGAAAATGCCCTTTATTATCTGTTATAGGTCCTCAGAATGGTTGGAATGATCCTCCAGCTTTGAACAGAGTACCTAAGAAGAAGAAGGTACTAGAAAAAGCTGTCCATCCAGTTGCCTGCAGATGTTCTACTAATCACAAAGCCACCTGGAACACACTATCCTTCACTGATCCTTTTAAAAGCAAAGCTTACTGATTGATAGGTTTAGGTGTACTTCAGCTTGCATCTTCTATTCCATGAAGGGAAGGAAAGAAAGTTAAAAAAAAAAAACACAACAATATGGTGGTGTGAATTTAATTCCCATTAGAAGACAAGATGTAAATTCCCAACAGGTCTCTTTCAAAGAGTAGGAAACAAAATTTTTCAATGATTTTTTTTCTTTTTGGGGTTACTTTGATCTTCTGTTTCCAACAGTAGTCATGAATTTGGTAATTATATTTTGGACTATTTTGTCTATCACATATAGTATGAATGAAGAAATAACCTTATAGTTGAGCACTGTTTAACTGTCAGTAACTGTTGAGAGCTGTTGGAGCACAAGATAAGATTCTTCTCTCCTTCTTTCTTCCCAAACATTTCTACTTTTTGTTTTTAACTTCTGGTGATTTCTTTTCCTTATATAGTAATGAGAGGTCATAACAATAAAATTGGGAGCACTTAATGGTCAAAAAAACCCAAAATTTAGGTTAGTAATAATTAGAAATTTAATCTACTACTTTTAATATGATTGAATTGACAGGTAATATCCACTTAGTAATCTAGGAAGAGTATTACATCGTGATCACATTAAATACAAACACACATTTGGCGTATCTGATTCCACTATGGCTAGATATAATCCTCTAGACTTTAACATCCTCTTTCAAAACACCTGTTTTGGCTCCCCATATGAGAGGAAGTGTGGAAGACAAAGGGGAAACAGAGGTCCAGTTTTGAGCTCTCTGTCGTTCTTAGCCAGATTAGCTCTACTTTTATGTTTTACTCTAGAATTCTGCATAAGATTTCATTTGAAAAAAGTATTCTATTTTTTTTTTTAATGTTAACCTTATTTAAAGGTGAGTAAATGATACTCTTTTTCTTATGCTTGGTGTCTCATTTCTGTCTTTTAAAAGATGCCTGAAAACTTTATGCCTCCTGTTCCCATCACATCACCAATCATGAACCCTTTGGGTGACCCCCAGTCACAGATGCTGCCGCAACAGCCTTCAGCTCCCGTACCTCTGTCAAGCCAAGCTTCATTTCCACAGCCACATCTTGCAGGTGGCCAGACCTTCCATGGCATACAACAACCCCTCAGTCAACCAGGCATGCCACCATCTTTCTCCAAGCCCAATATTGAAGGCGCCCCAGGGGCTCCTATTGGAAATACCATCCAGGTAACAGTAAATCTGCATAAGTGGAATGGGGAGATGGCTCTATTTCAGTTCATTTTTTTAATGTGTTAACTTTGATGTTTACACCTTTACTAATGAACATCTAAATTTGGTTTCAATTAAGACAACCTAAATAAAAAATAGTAACCCTTTTTTTAAGATCGATCATGCATAGATATTTTTCAATTACATGGCCGTAAACTTTCTAGAAGAGGCTCATATATTTGCTAGTGTATGTTTACACTAACTTGACAATTGCAGTATTTCATTTGACCTAATCCGTAGCCATAATTTTAGATCAGTTGAATCCATATTTCCAGCCAGGCTTGCTAAGCAGAAGCTATTTCCAGAGGTTTTTCCCTTTTAAATATAAAATAAAAATGTAATGAGTTATATCTTTTCTTGTGTATGTGTAAGAGCTAATAATATACAGCATACCTTCAGATGGAGATGTAAATTTGTACTTGCTTTTCACGTACAGCTAGTTGGCAGGGTTCTAGATGATAAAAATATCACATGTAATTGACTTAGACATACAAAGATAAACATTTTGATCTGTTCATGAAAAGTGAAGAGCTTGGGTCAAAATTAACATAAGAAGATGAAACAAATCCCTGCCCAACTAGTTCTGGTTTTGTCTTTGATTCACTAAAGTCAAATTTATAAAGATGTATCTCTATCACAAGGGTATGCTTTCATATTAATAGATAGTTCTGCCTAAGGAACTTCTGAATTATAAAAACCAGTGTTTTGATGGAGGTGGGAGAACTGACTTTTTTTCCACAGGACTATAAATTATACAGATGCATTGTTAATTTTTTTTTATGATTACAAGTCTATGCTAGTTTGGGAAGCTACCCAGCCATTCACTTTTGTTTAGACCTGGGGTGTTCATGCTTTACTCATCAATACCAGAAACTCAGTTACCATCGGAAGGGAATGCTGCACAAGATGTATATGTTCAGCCAGGCCATTACATCCAGCTACCTGCCTACCTCGATGTCTCCGAGGCACCTCACACTCAACATTTCTGAAGCCTTATACCCCTTAAACCCTTATAGCCCTCCCAAACCTGGCCTTCAAAAACTTGATGTTTCCTGTTTCAGTGAATGGCACCATAATCCTTCCTATTTAATCTAGCCGAAAACCTGAGAATCATCTTTATACTCTTTTCCTTTAATCCCACTTTCAAATCTATTCCTAAATTTTGTTGATACTATTTTAAAATCTCTCTCAAATCCCTGTTCTACACTTCCAGTCTAATCTATGCTGCCTTCATCCCCAATTTTCAGCAGAGCAGGATCCTCTAATTAGTCTGCCTTTGATCCATCTATGTGGTCTTGTCTCCTCTTTGTTTAAAGCATTGCTCTGAGGATAAAGACCAAAGTATTTAACATTGTCTGGAAGCCCTCAGCTTCTTACTCCTCCTTGCTGTCTCTCTGTTCCAGCTACACTGGCCTCCTTTTCGTCCCCTGTATCATGATCCTTCCTTTGTACATGTTCTTCCTCTACCCGCAATGCTTTTCCTTTCTTATTTAACTCGTTAACTCCTACTTGTCCTTCTGATATAATTTCCTGGAGAGAGCTTTCCCCTCAGTTAAATTCTAGTTATATTATCTGTTGGTTCCATTATTGTTAACTTATTAGCAATTAAATAGCAATACAGTTGCTATCTTAACATGTATTGATGGCATTTTATTTTTTTACTTTTTTTTCAAGTAACATCTTTCATTAAGATAGTAAATGTACTTTTTTTTTATGACACTTTAAAACTTTCTTTTTCTTCTTTTAGCCTAGTAAATTGCCAGAGAGTTGAGATCATTTCTGAATTGGCTCACAAATACACAGTCAGTGCCTAGCACATAATTGCCTAATATTTTTGAATGAATGAACTAATAAATCAGAACTTTAAAAACAAACATTCCTTCTTTGTCTTTCCATCTATACATTCAGTAACATCATGGTCTCTTATATCCCAGCTTTTGACTTAATTGTGGCAGTTTGGGGGCACCTGGGTGGCTCAGTTAAGCGGCTGCCTTTGGCTCAGGTAATGCTCTCAGGGTCCTGGGATCGAGCCCCATGTCAGGCTCCCTGCTCAGTGGAGAGCCTGCCTCTCCCTCTGCCTTTGCCCCTCCCCCTACCTGTGCTCTCTCTCACGCTTGCTCTCTCTCAAATAAATAAATAAAATCTTAAAAAAAAAAATCTTGCAGTTTGATGATAGACCAGTTACCAACCTTCAAGAGTAAACCAAAGAATAGAAGAATGCCAAGATAAACAAATGAGCCAACAAGCAGAGCAAGCAGCCACTCTAGCCAGCTTTGTAAATGCCTTGTTCTTTTTATTTCCTACTGGCATCGTAGGTCTGCTGTCTACTTCCCACCAGATACATACAGTAGTAACCAACATATGTTCCATAATTGACCAAATTCTTTATATCCAGTTCTGTTTTTGAAAATCAGAGCTGTAGAAGCCTGTACCTTCTACTGAATATCTGATTTTCATTTTTACTTATCCCCAAGGGATTTCACATGTTAATTTGTCATTTGATTTTAACAGCCTATCTACAAGGTAGTTAGTTGGTTTCTCTTTATCACAGAGTTTCAGGGCTTTGTGTATAGTTTCTGGTCATTTCTGGTCATTTTATGGTATTATTTCTTCCAGCATGTGCAGTCTTTGCCAACAGAAAAAATTACCAAGAAACCTATTCCAGATGAGCACCTCATTCTAAAGACCACATTTGAGGATCTTATTCAGCGCTGCCTCTCTTCAGCCACAGATCCTGTATGTATTTTTTTCTCATATTTTGCTTATTTAAAATAATCACTTATGGAGCTTTTGTGTAATTGCATGAAGTCTTACAAGATATACTTTAGAAGTTTGTACAATAGTAATAAAACTAGCACTTACATAGTTTGCTTTACATATAAAAATGTATTTAATTTCTTTTATATGTAAATATTTAATCCTTACAACAACCCCATGGTAGGTAAATTTGTTATCTTTATTTTACAGACAACTAAAGTAAACAAAAAGCTGTTAAGTAACACCCAAGGTCAGAGCCAGAATTCAAACCCAGCTTAGGTCCAGAATTTATGCTCTCACTCACTATGCTGCACTGCCTCTCAGTAGCAAACCTCGTGTTTGGCACATAAATAGAACAGAATGGTGGTATGTAAGAAATTCAGGTTTGGGCTTTCTTTCTGAGCTTAGATCAAAGCTTTTAAAAGTAGATAATCATATGTAACTTTGCAAAGATCTTAAAAATAATTGTTTTAGAGTCTAGAGTCATATTCACAGTTAAAGCAACTGATTTTACTTAGTTTATTTAGAGGATGCCAGTGTATTGGCAACAACAAAAATCCAACAAAGCTGGTCTTGTTTTAGATGAAATCTCAATTTCTACCAGTAAACATTGAATATGTTTATTTAGCCACTGGCCACTTGTCTGCTTGAAAAATAGCTTCTGGAATTTGTTGTTTCATCAAACATTGAGTATTAATATGTGCAGCTTTCTGCTGGTCCTTTAGAAGGCTATTCCCTGTACTAAATGTGTCAGGAAAGCAGAGGCAGGGAAAGGTTAGTGTCGTGCCTAGCATTCTGGAAGTGATGGAAACACTGAGTGAGGAACAGAGAGCAGATGAAGCAGATAGCCTGGCATACACTGTCCCCTGTGAACACCTCTAAATAGGTCACAGTCATTCAAAAATAGAAGAGTCCTAATAAAAATGAAGGAAAACTCCAGCCCTCCTTCAGGCATGAGTCAGTATAGAGAGGTTGAGAAGACACGTAGTACACAGCCCAGCTCAATAAATTTTTGTTGAGTTTAAACTCCTCTAGGTCAACATATCATCTTCCTTCTGGGTCCACAGGAGCCCTGGGCAGAAGAGAACCACAAAAGACAAACTGTTCCTGTAATTTCTGTAACCAGTTAGGGGGGAAAGTCCTAATATCCTATCCTTCCCAACTGACTCTGCCCCTGGGGTAGCGCTCCTGCTGGTAGCTAGATGAGATTAACTTTGAGCAGGGACTATCAGGGTTCTCCTCCACACAAATCCGTTTCATCAATAGCTGGAATCATTTTTACAATATGGCTGTAATACGTATTTTCACTTAAGTTATGTCCAGACAACACAAGGTAATTTTGCAGCATGACTTAGTTTGTGATGTTATGCTTGATATCTTCATCTCTTTCTCTCTCTTCTTCTTTTTTTTTTTTTTAATTCATTCCAGGTATATAATACAGTGCTTCAGCAATTCTGTACAGTACTGAGTGCTCATCATGATAAGCGCACTCATTAATCCCCATCACCTATTTCACCCATCCTTCCATCCACCTGCCTTCTGGGAACGATCATTTTCTTCTCTGTAGTTTAGAGTCTGTTCCTTAGTTTGTCTCTCTCTTTTTTTTCCTTTGGTAGTTTATTCTGTTTCTTAAATTCCAAATGTGAGTGAAATCATATATTTGTCTTTCTCTGAATGACTTAATGTATTTAGCATTATACTCTCTAGCTCCATCCATGTTGTTGCAAATGGCAAAATTTCATTCTTTTTATGACTGAATGATACTCTGTTGTGTATATATACCACATCTTCTTTATCCATTCATCTATCAATGGACACTGGGTTGCTTCCATAGTTTGGCTATTGTAAATAATGCTACAATAAACATAGGGGTATATGTATCCCTTTGAATTAGTGTTTTTGTATTTTCGGGGTAAGTACTCAGTAGTACGCTTGCTGGATCATAGGGTAGTTCTATTTTTAACTTTTTGAGGAACCTCCATACTGTTTTCCAGAGTGGCTACACCAGTTTGCATTCCTACTAATAGTGCAAGAGGGTTCCCCTTTCTGCATATCCTCACCAACACTATGTTGTTTCTTGTGTTGTTGATTTTAGCCATTCTGACAGATGTGAGGTGATACTTCATTGTAGTTTTGATTTGTATTTCCCTGATGATGAGTGATATTGAGCATCTTTTCATTTGTCTACTGACCACCTGTATGTCTTCTTTGGAGAAATGTCATTCATGTCTTCTGCCCATTTTTTAATTGGATTATTTTTTGGGAGGGGGTGTTGAGTTATATCAGTTCTTTATATATTTTAGATACTAACCCTTTACTGGATATGTCATTTGCAAATATCTTCTCCCATTCAGTACATTGCCTTTCAGTTTTGTTTATTGTTTCCTTTGCTGTGCAGAAGCTTTTTATTCTGATGTAGTCCCGGTAGTTTATTTTTGCTTTTTATTTCCTTTGAGGAGACATATCTAGAAAAATGTTGCTATGGCTAATGTCAGAGAAATTACTGCCTGTGTTCTCTTCTAGGAGTTTTATGGTTTCCTGTCTTATATTTAGGTCTTTAATCCATTTTGAGTTTATTTTTGTGTATAGTGTGAGAAAGTGGTCCAGTTTCATTCTTTTGCATGTAGCTGTCCAGTTTTCCTAACACCATTTGTTAAAAAGACTGTCTTTTTCCCATTGGGTATTCTTGCCTCCTTTGTCGAAGATTATTTGACCATATAATTGTGAGTTTATTTCTGGATTTTCTATTCTGTTTCATTGATCTGTGTGTCTATTTTTGTGCCAGTATCATACTGTCTTGATTACTACAGCTTTGTAATATAATTTGAAGTACAGAATTGTGACACCTTCATCTTTGCTGTTCTTTTTCAAGATTGCTCTGGCTATTTGGGGTCTTTTATGGTTCCATACAAATTACAGGATTATTTGTTCTAGTTCTATGAAAAATGCTATTGGTATATTGATACGTTAAAAAAGTCATTCCCAGGAGCACCTGGGTAGCTCAGTCGGTTGAGCTTCTGACTCTTGGTTTCATCTCAGGTCATGATATTGGGGTCATGAGATCGAGCCCCACATCAGGCTCTGTGCTCAGTGCAGAGTCTGCTTGAGATTCTCTCTCCCTTTCTCTCTGCCCCTCCCCCCACTCACGTGCTTGCTCTCTCTCAAATAAATAAATAAATCTTTAAAAGAAAATCATTCACCAACAAACAAAAAATTATTCACCACAGTCAAGTGGGATTTATGCTTGGGATGCGAGGCTGGTTCAGTATTCAAAGATCAATTAATTGCTTACTTCAGCAGCACATATACTAAAATTGGACCAATATAGAGAAGATTAGCATGGTCCCTGCACAAGGATGACAGACAAATTTGTGAATATTCACAGACCAATCAAAGTGATGCATCACATCCAGCAGAGAAAGGATAAAAACCTACATGGTCATTTCAATAGATGCAGAAAAAGCATTTGACAAAGTACAAAATCCATTCCTGATAAAAACCCTCAACAAAGTAGGTATAGAGGGAACATACTTCAACATAATAAAAGCTGTATATGAAAAACTCACAGCTAACATCATCTCCGTGGGGAAATATTCAGAGCTTTTCCTTTCTCTTTTGATGGATTGACATTCCTTCCTCCAACATACCAAGAGCATGTCAGCATCGACAGCTTTGTACTTGCTGCTCCTTCTGCCTGGAATCTTTCCCCACATAACTGCATTACTCACTCCACCCTTGTTCCAGGTTTCTCAAATGTCCCAGTAGCTATGTGGCCTTTCTTTACTACCTCATACTCCTAATACTTCTAGCCCCTCACTCTATTAAGTCTTTCCTCATGGCATTCATCACCATCTCATCTACAACATACTGTTTATTTAGTATCTTTTTCCCACCCAATAGAATTTGAGGTCCCTGAGACATAAGCATGGCACATAGTAGGCACTCAATAAATACTGAAAAACAGTGTCATTTCTAAAGCTGTTGCATAATGTACATTATTAGGTTAATCACATTGTAATTGAAACTTTTAATTTTAGTTTTAGAATAGTTTTCTCTCACTATATTTCTAGAACAAGGATTGGGAGGTGGGAGGACTCCTTGATTTAAGAACTCATTTTACTACTTGCCTTTTAGTAATCTTAAGCCACCAGAAGGTAATTTTCTTTTTTTTTCTTCTTCTTCTTGGTGTTTTAAAAGCTCAGAAAGAGGGTTTCTTCCTCACCTGGGTTGCTCCATCAGTTAAGCATCCAACTCTTGATCTCAGCTCAGGTCTTGATCTTGGGGGTCATGAGTTCAAGCCCCACGTTGGACTCCACCTGGGCATGGATCCTACTTAAAAAAAAAAAAGAAAGAAAGAATAAAGAAAGCTCAGAAGCAGGATTAATAAACATATTAATGTGACTGAGTATATAAGTAATATTTTTGAAAGGTTACAGTAAGATTCCAGTTCACTTCTGTGTTTGCTGCCATTGTAAATAGCTGTCCTTAGATCCTCTTTTCTGTAATACAGTGACCCACTGCTGCCTCCAGATGGCCCTTCCTGTTGCTTGTGGATAGTGCAATTATACATGCACACACCTTGTCAAATGAGCTGACAGTCCATGTGAAATCCAACCACTACTCCAGTTTGCACTCCAGAAGGAAGCCCCTTATCCTCCTACCCTTCCCCGTTAATAGGTTACTGAACTCTGTCCTAATGGTCTGTTCAAGTTTCTGAGTCATAGTTGCCTCCATTTCTTTATAAAATGAAGCTGTTCAGCATCGGGGTGTAAGGGTCAGTGAAATGAGATGGGGCAGGTCTTTGGATAAAAGTTAAGTATCCAAATGTAATACATCTGTTTTTCCTCTCCTACAGCAAACCAAGAGGAAGCTAGATGATGCCAGCAAACGCTTGGAGTTTCTGTATGATAAACTTAGGGAACAGACAGTAAGTTTGTGGGGAAAAAGGATTCATGATAATCATTTATTCCTAGTTTCTAGTAAATAAGCATCTCATCAGCACTAGCATGTAATATATTTGGGGGCAAAATTGTGATGACAGTGATAGAATGGGCTTTCTCTAACTGAATTTTATATGTCATTTAAATTTGGGGATGAGGGAATAGGAGAGAGGGTGTGTGTATGTGTGTGTGTGAGATAGGCGTGCAATTTTAACTTTTCTTATAACAAAGAGTAGAAATATAATCTGCCTTGTATTGGCCCTAAGGTAACTGGCCTTCTGTTCATTTTATATGTAGCTATATTTTCTGCATTTCAACATTCCTCTTCTCCATTCCTCACAACAGTCCCATCAGATAAAAATAACCACTCATGTCATGAGAACCAAACCAAAGAAAGTTGATGTAACAGTGGAAGTGGTGTGGTCCATGGACTGATCCAAAATAAATACTTCCCTCAGAAGTATAGGCATATGATCCAAGTAATGACATGGGATAAAAACGAGATGTTATGGTTTTAAGAGATGTCAAGATTACAAAAAGCAGTGAAGAATTGATAAATTGAGTACATGGTAGCTGCTGCCCTATGAACAGAGGTGGACCACAAGTTTAGGGTCTCTACTGTAGACGTGGTTTTAGAGTACATTGGGTCCTTAACGTTGAGATAAAATGATTAAGAACCTTTAAATTCCTTCATATGCATGGGAAAAGTTTTAAAAGGTGTGAGGCTATATCTAAAATATTTGAAGAATTAACACTCTTTTAAGTGGAGAAAGACATTAGCATTTCAGCTTGGGGGAGGAAAGCTGGCTTCTATAAAAAAATTAACTGACTCATACATGTTCATAATTCATAATAATCTCCTTACATTAATCATCTTGCCATGGTTCTCCTTTATAACTTAAAGAGTTGCTTGGTCCAAAAAACTGTTTCTAGAAAAGCTAAATGGTTTATTTGCTTTTTTATAATATTTGTTTCAGTCTCCTTTTAAATATCAGGGTTTATGGGAAATTCTTCCTTAATTTAATTTTTTTCTCTTGATTCTACCTTTATTTCAGCTTTCACCCACAATCATCAGTGGTTTACACAACATTGCAAGGAGCATTGAATCGCGAAACTACTCAGAAGGATTGACCATCCACACCCACATAGTTAGCACCAGCAACTTCAGTGAGACCTCCGCTTTCATGCCAGTTCTCAAAGTCGTTCTCACCCAGGCCAATAAGCTGGGTGTCTAAAAGGACATCTTTACTCCCAGCCCATATTGCCATTTTTCCAAAGAAACATACTTTAAAAAATGTTAAGATATGGACCAATCCTCATTAGCATGTTTCCATAACAGCCAGTCAAGAGCATTTACACCATTTCTGCAGATATACTCACCTTAGAACTGCTCAAAACCCAGGTGCTTTCTTTTGTTTTAATCTTTTATTGCCCATGATGATTTTCCTATTCTGCAAGTAGTGTATTTCCTGGATTACACATAGTGTGTTTTCCTGAAGTATTCTGATAAAATGTGGTTTTTAAAACCTCAGTATACTTTCTGGAAAAGGAGCATCTGGTTATGCATAAAGCAGAGCTAAAACTAAGTTTCTTTCATGTCCTCCCTTCTTCCTCTATGTCAATCACATTAAAGTGTGTAATCCTATTTTATGTGTATATAGTCTTTTTTTTAAACAAAAAAAAAACAGCTGCTCAGAGTTTAGTTTAATCCCTGTTTTTGTGTCTTTGGCTTCACTCAGGTCCTGAACAAATAACTAAATCTAGAGGTTGCTACATAGATTATAGCAAAGATTAATGAAGAGTGGGATCACTAGCTTTAAATATCTGTTGGAAAAGACTGAGCGTTTTCATTCTGTGAAATGCATTGGACTTTTTTGTATTAATAAATGTTTTCAATATTCTGTTTCAGTTTTCAGATTGAATTATCTCCAGTTTATATTTAGAAATTCGTTCATCCACTTTTTAAAGTCACCGAGAGCTCTGAGGTTTAAATTTAGAAGGAAAACTTTAATTTCTAACTCCTGAATCAAAGGCAGACATTTTTCAGCCCATTTTTCTGTTAAGTGATTTTATTATAATTTGTCTTAAGAACAGTGTGGTGGGGGCGCCTGGGTGGCTCAGTCGTTAAGCGTCTGCCTTCAACTCAGGTCATGGTCCCAGGGTCCTGGGATTGAGCCCCACATTGGGCTCCCTGCTCAGCGGGAAGCCTGCTTCTCCCTCTCCCACTCCCCCTGCTTGTGTTCCCTCTCTCGCTGTGTCTCTCTCTGTCGAATAAGTAAAATCTTAAAAAAAAAAAAAAAAGAAAAACTGTGGTAAACAAAAGATAATGGTCCCCATAGAATCTTGAGAATTAGATACTAATAATTTTTCATTGTTACATTATGTAATTTCACGTAAGTAGGTTGGAAAACTAGAAAATAAATATTGTAACTACTGTGGAGTTGCTGTTTCAAGGAGTTAGAGTAGTTCCTGTAAGAGTAGTTCGTCAGGCTTTGTACATCCTGAGTGAAATGAGTTGCAAGAACCTCTCATTTTCTTTTGCTGCGATTCCCTACTGCCAAATAAAACCCCTCTTTTAAAAATTAATCCCTTGGTGTTTAGCTCAGAATAGTTTTATAACTGAAAAAAGGAGGACCTTGATAGCATGTGTGAACATTGGAACCGCAGGACTGGGGTGATCTCTCAGCACCCTGCCTTCAGTCTCCTGGGAGTGTAGTCGCCTTAGTCAGTTCTGTGACTCACTGAAGTGAGTGGCAAGAGAGTGCTTGACCTTCAGGACCTGCCTCTCAACTGTGGGGTCAGCCCAAGACCCCATCGGAACAGCAGGCTGGCCTCTAGCAACTTTTTTCATCCTTTGTCCTTATAGTTAGGGTTTATGTTTACCCTGATATGAGAGTGGCATAGTTGGCAGCATTTTATGAAAAAACAAATTCCCAAAAGATGAGAAACGAGAGTAGGTGGCAGTAGAGTCCTGGCCAACCCCAAAGATTTTACGAGTATGAGTAAAAAAACAAATGTGTCACTGACATCTGAGCAGCCGTTATCCTCCTTTTTCAGTACAGCATTGTGGTATTTTTTCCCCTACTGTGGAGACATTTTTCCACATGACTTATAACCTTGGAAAAGTTCCACATAAGTGGATGGTGGTAAGAGGAGCTGAACCCAAAATACTGTGTTGTCTCTGAAGTATGAAGATAAAAAGAGATGATGGAAAGAGCATAGTTTGTTTTCTTGAAGAAAAACAGAACAACTTTCAAAAAGTTTTTTGTTGGGTGCCTGGGTGGCTCAGTTGGTTAGGCAACTGCCTTCGGCTCAGGTCATGATCCTGGAGTCCCGGGATCGAGTCCCACATCGGGCTCCCTGCTGAGCGGGGAGTCTGCTTCTCCCTCTGACCCTCCTCCCTCTCATGCTCTCTGTCTCTCATTCTCTCTCTCGCAAATAAATAAAATCTTAAAAAAAATTTTAAAAATGGTAAAAAAAAAAAAGTTTTTTGTTATAAAATTAGAGAAAAAAATTCAACTTAATTTTGTAAATGAGCCTGTTTTTAACGTTTTCACCTCCAAAGACATTGAATTGTATGCCCGCACAATTCAGGCACCTCTGTATAAAGTTATTCTTACACAAAGATGCGGTGAATCTGTTTAGTCTGGGAAAGTTACAGCTGTATCCTTGCCATTACTTCATGCATAGAGACGAGTCATTCTTTTACATCCCAAATTTGTTCAGTTTTGCCCTTACTTTGGGTGTGTTTTATTTCTTTAACCTACCTAATTTTAAAAGAAGGAAAGGGCTGTGAGGGAACCTGGTAGGTGGGGCTAGGTGTCAGCCAGGAGATGTATCAGATCTCTGGGAGGTGTTTTTTTATATTGCACCTGCTCTTCTCCATTTTTCATATGACCGTTTGTGCTGGGTGGGATGGATGTATTCTTAGGCCCCATTTGAAAATCTTTATATGTAATGGGATACATAGCTGATGAAAGTCATGCATTTGGATAGTGTGGCAGCAGGAAAAAGTTGGGAACAACTGCTCTATACTTGACTATTGAGAGCCCAATGAGCCTATATATTCTTTTGGATTCAGAAAACTCCCATGTATCCTGGAGGACAGTAGAGTTCGTGGCAACCAGATGTACCCTGATTAACTCCTGCCTAAAAAGTAGAAGGAGGGATGGTAACTGGTTAACACTTTTCTGATAACCATTTGTCTCCTGAGCCAGATTTGGGTTCACGTAAGAGTGACTGCAAGGCCAACTGTTGACCCTTCTGCTGTGGTGGAGACTTCGTTTGGAACTGTTGTGAAGATTCAGCAAGTAGTGTCCACGCGTTTGTGTATGCATACATGCATCAGGATGCATGCGCCCCTCTTTATTGTGTTATTCCCAAATAGAAGCCCTGACAGATCTATGGGTGTTCATCAAATGCTGAGGACGTCCCAGGTAGCATCTCAAATTGCTCAGTCAATAAGAGGGACTGTTTATGCACAGAAAATCTTAACTTTTTGGCCTTAATGGATAAATAGGCCAAATCTTTCAGTCAAACTAGATTACAAAGAAAAAGCAGTCACATTAGCTTTATAGTTCCACTCTTTCTGGTACACTACTTGTTTCACCTACATTTCCGTAGCATCCGTGCTTTGTCACTGTACCAGTCCCCGAGGCCCAGGCTGTGCAGTATGCTTCGAAGCTCATGGGAGTCAAATTGTACCATTCTTTCATTTCCAGCTGTTTGCTTTTTTACCCACTCGGGGGAGGAATGATGTGTAGGTTTTAAGGTGGTTGGTGTAGGTCTTGAAAAAGCTAATAAGATCCAGCAAGAGAAAATAGACCTTTTTTTAAAAAGATTTATTTATTTATTAGAGAGAGAGAGAGCATGGGGGGAGGGGCAGAGGGAGAGAGAAAAAGAATCTCCAGCAGACTCCCCTGCTGAGTGGGAGCCCCACATGGAGCCTAAGTCGGATCCTGCAACCCTGAGATCATAACCTGAGCCCAACCAACTGAGCCACCCAGGCGCCATAGAAATAGACTTTGGTATAACTGTGGTACATGTTTTTCGCATTCTGGATTCCCATTTCCTGTTTCTAGAGATCTGCTGATTTATTTAGCAAACTGTTAATGTTGTTAGTCTAAAACACCTACAATGACTTTGTACAAACATCATTTCTCAGTAATGTCTGAGGTCTTTATTTTAATGGAGGTGTACTCCCTGTTGAATTTGAATTCAATTTTTGGCTGACATTTCATAGACCTAAAAGGCTATTGTTAATCCGGTAGGCCTTCCTGCTTTTATCGCTGTGCCTTAAAATTTCTAAGTCCATAACCTTTCTAAAACCACCTCTTGTGTATCAGTGAGTTCACGCTGTGCAAGCATGGGGTTGGGGGGGGATGGCTTCAGAAGCCTTGTGAAATAGAGAAAACTAGTTTCTATTTCAAAAAAATACAAGAGTTTCTTGGATTTTTAGTCTGTGTGAAGTAAATCCTAATGAAATTTATGTCTCAAACATCTGCCATTATCTCTTGTATACCTTTAAAGGCATTTATACTTCCCAGCTCTAGAGAGTAGCATTTTAGCATTGTTATTAACTTGGTTTCTTTACTTCAGTAGATACTTGTTAAAGGGCTTCAGGCAGTTCAGTAGGAAGACTTCGTGTCCAAACAGATGTGTGTTTCCAGATAGGCGATGTAAAATGAACCAGTAGGGAGCCTATCGTAGGAACGGAAAGGATTCAAATTCGATAAGAGGAAAGTTCCAGACCTTTTTTTTCCCTGATAAGTAAAAGGGCTGTGAGTATAATATATAATTCAAGGGAACCATTAAGGCTGGCCAATAAGTATGATCTGGTTAGTGATGAGAAATCATTTCATCTTGCACTTTGTCCAGTAAAGGAACTCCCCACTCTAGGAGGACTAGAATGTGTGTGGTGGAATTGAATATCAAAACAGACTTCTGTAGTAAAGAAGGAAAGCAAACCATCTCCTAAACATGACCTAAAATAACTTCCTTTCCCTCTGGTTATATCTCCAAGTAAGATGACTTTCCTGACCCTTTTTTTTTTTTTGCCTGAAGGAGTCTTCTGGAGAAAACAAGTCAGTTTTAACAGGCAGAAACCAAGTCCACAAGAGTTCTCTCCTGAGAGGTGCTGCTTGGACACCCTAAATGGACAGAGCTCACCTTTCCTTGAGCTGGGTACTTTGCTCCCTCTTCTAAGTCGTCACATCAGCCCAGGGAGCTAAGCTATTCATTCCAGTTGCCTGGTGCATCTGGTAAGCAGTAGAAGCTGGATTCAAATCCAGATCTCAGCCTAGTGAGCACATTTCTTCCACAAAACCACATTGTTCCCAAAGTAACTGCTGCTACAACAAAAAACGCATTCTGCTTTCTGATTTTGTGCTTCTCCCTCCTATTAGTCTGCAGACATCTGGCATTTCCCACAAACGAGGAATGTGGTTATGATAAATGGATAAGCTTATTGAGCATTGTGTATTGGCTTCTTTTGAGGCAGGTTGTCTTTACGTGCTGGGGAAAATGGCCCCTGGCAGCCCAAAGCCTACATCTCCACTGCTTGTGTTACACCAAGGGGAGAGGAAACCTCTCACAATACCCAATTACTGCTCACAAAGACAACTCCAGTTGCTTCCGTGTGGGTCT